TTCATCACTCTGTTCTCCTCCCCACTGATAGCTGATGTGTGGTGAGCATACTGGTGCACTACGGCTGCTGTCGCATCATCCAGGTGGGGCTGCACATCGGTGGTGGTGGAGGGGAGTTCAAATTATCTGTAAAGCACTTTGAGTGGAGAGTCCAGAAAAGCGCTATAGAAGTGTAAGCAATTATGTTCTTAGCAATGAGATTAAATCTCTCAAGAGTCTGGGCATCTAAAGTAACACAATTAGCCAAGAACAACAAAGCTAAGTGCACAATCCCCATATGGACAACAGAAAGGGGTTTATATATTTATTGTTTTATGATTATAACAGGATTAGTGTGAGCATTAAACTGCTGCTTGTGAAATACAAATATTAAACACATTAACTCTAGTTGTCCAACAGGGTGTCGAGATTTATCCTGGAAGCTTGTTACAAACATTGTTAATGTACAGAACTTGGATTTCCTCTTCTGTCCATTTAAAAAAAGATTAAAGTTGCCAATGAATATCTTGATCCACAGTAAGATGTGTTACATCGTTTACAAAAATGTATTTTATTTAAAAACCAAGACTTTAGTGTTCATAAGAGCAGGACATTAAAACATACAACCTGTTACATAAACTCCATGGCGAGGTGTTTGACTATTGGCATATTCTTAAAGAAAATTGCCCTGTCTTTTAAATGTTACATTAAAGTCTTCTAAAGCATACAGGCCCTGAAAGTAAATAAAGCAGATTTGAAGGTAATATTTTCATGTTGGATCTAATCTATGGTTTGTGTTTTCTTCTTCATCTCTTAAATGTTAATGTTTATGTTAAATACTAATGTTTTGGACAAAGAAATCATTTTATTTCTCATATTTATTTACTATAATACAGTGTTTTAATCACATTTTAAGGAATTTTCTTAAATATGTTTTCCATTGACACACAAGGATCCTTTTTAAGGGTGTGGTCAATTGTGGGGGTCTTTTGTTTTTAATTAGACTATTTGCAGTTCAGTGCTTGTCATATTAAATTGTGGTAATCTTATCCAGTTTGTACAATATTTCTCTTCATTAAAGCAAATCAGAAAGATATGGTGTAGCCTGTCAAACTGTTGAAACTGGAGTAATTAAAAATTTATCTGGTTCTTACTAGGGTAATTGTGCCAAACCCTTTTAGACATTCTGAACAGCAAACTGAATTAAGTCAGATGTATGCCATTAATTAATGTCAGCTGAAGTATCCATTTGCAGTCAGTGTAATAAAATCATGGTGTCTGTTGCATTGTCATGAAGCTGAATATATGATGTACCTTTTTGTAGATCAGAATCTATGAATAGTGGTGCGGTACATTTTGCATTGAGTCTAGATTGTCCTGACCATAGCAGAATCCAGCACTGCATAGAGCATGGTGATAATCCAGCATTGTAATTGTAATCTCCTCATTTCTTGTTGCTCATTTTAACTCCAATTCCAACAACATGTACTGTAGTTGTCAGAGCTGTGGGGTGAAAAATCTTCTGTGAGCTGTGACAAATGCACTTGTACCACCTCTGTTATGATTCCTTCTCAGCAATTCGCAAGCTCTTCCCTGAAAACAAACTTACTGCTTTGTGTCGAATTTGCTGATTTCTGGGTATTCCAGAAGATGTCTTCATCACCATTTTTATTACACTTTGTTACACGTTTTGTCATATGAATCCTTTAAATACGAGGTACTGTATGTTCACATTGTGTTGCAGGTGCTTAAACACAAGGGGCTCTTGCTCATTGTATTTCATTTGTCTGTGCCTCTGAAAACTAAGGTACTCAATGGGACTTCGGTATTATATTTTTGAAAAGACTGTCTTTGCGTACCTCAAAATTCAAGAAAATTAAGCAAGCCAGTGATGATCATTAGAAAGTGCAGTTATAATTACTGCTGCTTCAGCTCACTGCTGAGGTCAATTAAAATTCACCCCTGAGTATTTCTGTAGGCCTGTGCTCTTGAACTGCCTCCAACCTGCATTCACAATGGGCTGCACATATAGTACAAAAGGTGACATCTGATCCCAGCATGAAAATTTCTAGCCCCTCTGGATTGGACTGTCTTTCTATGGCTTGCTTCTCTAAACGTTGATCTGACAGCACTGATTCCCCCAAGGATCGGTGACATTTCAGTCACTTTGAACCATTCCTGCAATCCAGGCCATGTTATTAACGTAAAAAGGAAGAATAAAAAGTAGGTGTGTAAAGCCCAAAGAGAGAAAAAGAAAACCAAAAATTTCACAAAAGCTCTGCCTGTCCCTGAGCCGTAACTGGACTTTGTTTTCCATGCAGGAGAAATTCCGCTTCTGACCGGTGTTTCATGTCTCTGCAGGAGCATTCCGTTAAAGGGAAAAACAACAACAACAAGAAGAAGAAGAAGGAGAAGAAGTCCAAAAAGAGTAAAAAGGAAAAGAAGAAGAAGGGTCAGGCCAATGACTCCGGTGACAGTTCTGCAGTAAGTAACAGGCATCTCTGGGTGGTAATTAAAAGATAGTTCAGAAACAACAGTGGAATATCGGTTTTGCACAGTGTAGGTTAAGCCAACACATGTGAAATCTTATATCACTGATCTGCATCCAGGTGGTACTGCTAACCACCTATGGATGAGAGTCCCCTTGCCTTCCCTGCCTGAGCACTTTCTTTAGCATTGGATGAGGGGAAGATGAAGAGATTCTCCAGTTGAGGACTGTGGTCTACTGGATAGTGTCGTGTTCATTGGGTGCCATTTGTGTCTTTATTTTGGCTGACCATTTTAGGTCTATTGTTTCTGTTCCACAGTACTGAAAATAGACAATTGGCCCGGTACTTACATATCAATGATATTAAGGGTTACCTTTAGTTAGTAGGATGTTAGTTTGATTCTCAGCTGATAAATCAGTTTGTTCTTGGAAGACTATCTTACTGTCTATCTATTAATTTTATATATGTATATGCTTACACATTTGTGCACATAGCAATATTAAAATCTAATATTTACACAAGCATAATGCTTATACTGTCCCACAGAGCACCCTAGCAATCCTTTTTATTTATTTTTATGGTATGAAACGATCCTACTGGGAAGGGCCTGATTCTAAATTTTGAATTCCCTTCATAAAAACCTCTGCATTATCAAATATGTTATTTGGATGGTTTATAAACCAGAAAGTCAATGTCTTTTCGTCCCTGCGGGAGTTGTTCATGTGCAGTCGCTTGGTTAAAGCACCTTCAGAAGTGCTGGGGAAAATCTGGCTGGGGATTTCACGGTTTGCTTGCTGTTTATACAATGAAGAGTCTAAAGAAAATGAGTTGTACTAATCACACTTGTAGGAGACAATTGCAGAAGGTGACTTCTTTTAAGATTAAACTTCCGTTGTTAGATGAAGTGATCCTGTATCACCATAATTTTGAAGCATCTAATTTACTTGAAAACAGAAAAAGAACAGATTCAGGATCTGATTATCCAAGGTGAGAACAGACATTGCAAAAAGAAAAAACTTTTATTTGGCAGATTTTATTTTATTTCTTTTTTTATCCTTCCCAATTTCGGATTTGCTAATAGTTGATGAGCCTGGCTCGCCGACACAGACTTTGCACATCTGCATCAGGGATGTGGACCTTACCCACTTTCCTCTGAAATCCCAGCTTCTGTGAAGCCAGTAATGTCTACAGTAGAGACAGCATCAGCTGGAGGACAAGTGCAGCTCTCACTGACAAAGATGAAAGTCTTGATGAGTGCCAGACAAGACCAGTGGCACACTGTTGATTAGAAACAAGAGGATACTCGAGTCTATTCAGTCCTGGAAGCACTCAACCTCTGTTGCACCATTAGTACTGGAATCTCACTCACAATCAGCTAAAGACGAGGGTCCACAGCTGAAGCGAATGTGATGGATTTAAAGGGAAAAACTTTCAAGCAAAGAGACTGTAGTTCAGTGTGGTCATGTTGCTTTATAATTACTTATGGGGAAAAAAAGTCTGTTGTGTTCATTTTTCTTCTTTCAAGACTTTTATCTTGGCATCACGGTCTCTTGCTGTCATATCTGTATGTGTTAAAAAAAAGACAAGATGAATTGTGTTTTTCTTCATTAAATGAAGCAGACCAAACACTTAATTGCTTCAAGCTGCCAGGTATTAATAAAATGCTGAAACGTAACAGATAATGTTCATATTGTGTGGTGAATATCACTTAGGAGCCAGTTTTTTAATAAAAAATGTAATCCTTTTATTTTCTAACTATAGCATATCTATGCATCTGGGAACATTAATATTTATGGCTATAATATAATGGTGAAGGAGGGCCATGACATGGGTTTCTCTGTGGCTGATATTACTGCTGTGATCATCTGGAAACTGTCTGTTCCAGTGAAGAGATTGAGCTGAATTAGTTCTCTTCATTTGTCAACAGCGTTGATCAAGGTTTGCTTTGTTTTGTGGAATTGTGTCGGCAGTAACATCTCACAGCACAAATTGAATTGTCTTCTCCCTGGATTGAATCTGTCTCGGGCCTGGACAGCCCGAAGGATTTTTGAATGAATTTCTTGTTTACATAACCCGGGTGAAAGCTTTATGAAATTGGAATCACATTGAAAAAGCAGGGGCATAGTAGAGGGTCGGTCTATAGCAGATGCTATCATTTTTTAATTGTCAAGTATTTGCTCATCAAACATTATATTAAAAGTGAGTACCATACTGAAACATGCAAAATATGGAGTCAAGTATCACTGTTGTCTGGAGTATACCATATTTTGTAATTGTAGTGGTTTGTAAAGCTCTTCAAATTATCCAGGAATCATGACTGACAAAAAGGTGGCTAAAATGCACAATTCTCAGTTTTGTATTTTACACATTAGTATATTAAATAGTTTGCCCTCATAAGCAAGTTCATGTTACAGAAATCTAAAGGCATGGGTTGTGTTAATGTTTCAGGATTCTGAAGATGAGTGGGTAGAGGCCTCACCTGCTCCACAGTCGGACACCACAGGGAAATCATGGCAGATTCCAAAAGAGAAGCCAAGTCCAGTAGACAGCAGTCAGGTGAGCACACCCAACAAAATTTGCTTGATCTTGTTCTGAGATTATTTTTTTTTAGCTGGGCCAGCAACCTTTACCCATTAACACTGTTACCTGTTATGCTGTGGCTACAAATTATATTTTTTTGTCGACACCTAAAACTTTTCTGTTGATTTTGAGTCACACTGCTACATGGGGGGGGCACAGTTTCTAATTGGTTAATGTTGCTTCTCCGGGTGCTCCAGTTTCCTCACACGGACCAACGTTTGGTACAGTAAATTAATTGGCTTCTGGGAAAATTAACACTGGCGGTGGACTGGCGTCCTGTCCAAGGTGTATCCTGCCTTGCATCCATTGCTTGCTGAGATAGGCTCCAGCTCCTCTGTGACCCTGTACTGGATAAAGTGGGAAGAAGATGATGGATGGATGGGAACTGCTGTACAGATTTGTGAATTATGTTGACAATTTAATAGATTTGATTATATATTTTATTTGTTTTGTAGGGTACAAGCTGTTACAACAAAATTTGTAGGACAGTTTTTATATAATTTTTAATTTTCTCCCCAGCTTCCCAGTAAATTGCTCATGCCAGCATTGTCAGGTGTTGTTTAAAATGATAGTGTGCTTCATTGCTTGTGGAGGGTAGTTAAGAGTAGTTTACTCATCTTTTTTTCTCACCCTTTTATATGTTACAGTTTTAATGAAACTCAATAATACCTTATGAGTTTTATTGAAAGAATTAAGTTTTAAGAATAAATCAAAATATAACAATTCCCCATAGGTCAAAGCAAGATGAACTAAAAAAGCACATTGATTGAAAGAAATTCCAATCCTAAAATTCCAAAATGTTTAAATTTGAGATTTAAAAGTCAGCATGAAAGCTTGGCATTTACTGTAATGCTGTGCATTTAAAAGATTCCTGAATTGCTAGGAGCTAGAAATGACCAGAAACTGATTTATTTGTTTTAGGAAAAGAATTTGTTTTTCTCTTGAATACTTGTTCTGTAGTTTTCACACAAGGCCAGGAAGAGAAAGACCATTATTATGGTTAATTTTCTTCTTTATAAAAAGTATGTAGATGGCTTTGCAAGAGGTTATATTTTAATTCATGTGCAGATAGTTATGTGATACTTTTGTCTGTGTACTGAAGCATTATTGAAGTCTGGCTCTGATTTTCAGAAAGAGACCCTGAAATAATTTTTAAGACATTTTCAATGGACAGGGAAAGTATCTCCAAAATGAAGCTATGTGAGGGTTTTCTTTCGTTAGTTTTGTTTGATATTTTTAGAATATTTTTAGATATCAATTTAGCTTTGTTAAAGACAGTACTGTGGTAGAAGGAGCTTTGCATTTATTTCGGAAAATATTTGACTCCCACTGTCTGTACATTGTGCACTGTTTTTAAGCAGAGTGCATGTCTCATTGACTTAGATGAAAGCAGATGGTACTTAAATGAGACCTTGAAAACTGACAGATTCACGTCAGAACGTAGATGTCATTTTAAAGCACAAGTTTAGCTGATGTTTCCTTACAAACAGCCACTGTATCAGACATCAGTATTGTTTGCTGACCTTTTATAGTATTGATTGAACATATTCCTCTGTCTTAGATAGATAGCTGGGTGCCTGATATTGATGGGGTTTCCAAAAATACAATGTTTCGAGGAGTTGTTGATCAATAGTGCATGGTACTTAACACATTAGTTTATATGGATTAATGACTTCTGCTGCTAATATATGATCAATGATTACAGTTGTTATGGAGTCAATTTAAAACAAACTGTCTTCCCCAAGGAAAAGGATATATGATTATTATACTTTCACTGTTGTCACTAGATCTCTGCAGTGTAATTCATTACCTAGGAGCACTGTTGTGGTGTCACAAAGGATCGGTAATAAACTGATAACTCTATTAAAAGGGTTTTAAAAATAAATCCGGCACTGAGACTGCATTGCATTCCGTGAATCAAGAAAGTGGATTAGTACAGTGCATCAGGTGATTTAATAATACTGTTTTCGATAACTACTGTAGGTATTTCTTTGTAAAACAAGTTAACCTTAATGCATCCTTTTTTGTTCATTACTCATTACATCTTTGGCAGAGTAAATCTATTTGAAAACATTCAACCCTGTTTATTTATATCTGGCCATAGCCTTTCCTGTTGGTGGTGAATCCCCAAGCAAAGGCATAACATAGGTTATGATGTTGGTCTTTTATTGCATTAATTATTTGGGAGATGACAGTCATATATCTTAGAGGTTAAAAATCTTTCACGTAATTTTTGGAAATAGAGATGTTATCTTATAGAGGAGTCTCACAAGTATTAAAAAAACTCTTTGCACACACTTTCTTTACTAGTTTGGAACTGCGTGGATTTCAGTTATTATACTTTGTTAATGTTTTCAATCTTCATTTTCTTTTGTAAGATTGATGTTCTCCACCACCAATTGTGCAACTCGTAATCTGTATCCATTAACATCTAATTAAATCTGCGACAGGGCAAAGTATGAAATCTAGTTTTTTTCATTAACTTTACTGCAGGTTTTGTGATGTCTGTCATTACATTTAAAACAGTCTGCGTGATATTTACAAGATCTTATGAGTTTTATGAGTAATTACAATACATTTACCCAACAGTGGAATTAAGCTGTTGATGACTGAGTTTTTAATTAAAATTAATGGACAAGCAATTATGCTGACCTGGTAAAACACAACATAAACGACAAGGATTTTTTGTGATGTTTTTTGAATGATGTGAATGCCGGAAGAAGCTGTATTTTTTTTTTACACAAAACAACATCAGAGCAGCTGCTGCTGTTTTATTGGCAACGCATGATTAATGCTGTGGCTTGATTTACTGCCACTGTAAACTGACATTTGAACAGCCCTTTCCTCCCCAGTGTGTAAACTGTGCATAAAGAGTGAGAGCCTTGTCTCTCAAGTCCCCAAACATTTCAACGGGTGAAGAGGTTAAATCTTCATTTTCTGTAGTTCACAGAACGATTTTCCAAAAAGCTCCCACGATGGAAAACATGATGCAAATGATTACTGGTAGTTGTTGGTTGTAAAAGTGAATTTATTCAGGTTCTGAAAGTGCAGTCAAAGTTTTCCATTATTTGAATTCTAAAGTAATCTTATAGAATTTTGTTTCAGAGGTACACTGTGCTAACGTTGCAACACCATATTTATCTAGAATATAAATTCCTTACAAATATATAGCACTTTTCTGGGCACTCCACTCAAAGCGCTTCATAGGCAATGTTGACTCCCCTCTATCACCACCAATGTGTAGCATATATTAGCATAACATCTCCTGAAATACATTATCATAATCTCTTGACCTAAGGTGCTTCACAGTTGTTTGCTGACATGGCTTACGTGTTCATCTTTGAAATAAAGCAATTTATTATCAGCTAAGGGTGCAGTAACACTGACTCACTGTAGACCTAATTTCCCTTGCTTCACCAGCAGCAACCCCCTCCTGCATGGCAACCAGGAGGCGTCGGGAAACTTCATACCTGCCTTTATTTTTGTGTGTTGGGTGTCATTGCTAGAGAGACGAGTGGATGACCTTTGATTTCTTGTCCATGAAAACCGTGTCGACTAAAGAGCTCCGGGACGATAAGGAGAAACAGAAGGAAGCAGAGAGGGAGCGAGCACAGGCAATCGAGCAGGTGGGCTGTGCTGATCACTGTTGCCCTGTGTTGAGGTCCACTTACAAAGTTCATGGTTACTGCTAATCCAGAGGTCCGTGCAACCAGAGTAAAATCATGAGTGAATTATGCACATACATATATATATATAATGCATATAAGTGGGTAAATGTATATGGCAAAGTACAATTTTCAGGTATTAGGTATTTGCTCTATTTTTTAAATCTGTATACTAAAAATAAAATGGTTGCATACAAAATTTGTCAATATGGTCTCTAGACAATCTTGTGGCTCCTGCCCCATCATAGCTAAGTGAAGAATAATAATAATTATGATATTTCGTTCTTCTACAAACTGTTAAATTAACACTTTACTTTAAAAGGAAGGAAGGCTAAAAACGTGAATGTGATAAACCGCAAAACAGCATGCTGCCCTTATTTTTTTTCTTCCAGTTTTAAAGCATCCACTTAGCACGGTATGTCCTTCTGCTTTGGACAGCCAAAACTAAAATTGCTTATCAGAATTTTTCTTTGTTTTAGCATTAGTCCAGACTCAGAATGTTAAAGCTAATGAAAAACTGTTTTTCTGAATGCCATCTGTTCTTACTGTGCTTGATGGTGTTAGTCACTCTCCCTTGCTTTCTTTTGATAATCAAGGTAGCTGTGGAACAAGCAATGCCTTTTCTCTTTTTTCCTGGTCAAGGTTATAAATACCAATGTCTTTCACTTTCAATAAACCAAGGGCATTTATAAGTCTAAACAAAACCCGAGGCCTTTGTGACGCGTTTTTCTGTGACAGCTAATTAGAAAAAAGAGACATCTGTCTCTCTGTTAAAAAAAGAAGCAAATTGTGAAGTAATTCACCTGATAGAACACCTTCTTGGTAACCAGGGAGACCAAATTCCAGTTGTAATGAGAACTGATGTAAATTAATAGAAAATAGCAGAAAATGTCATTTATAACTAATTAGTACTGTGATAAAGTAATGCTTTTTGAAAAATAAGCAAGATGTGTGTCCATTTGTGGGATAGAATGTAATTAAAATGTAGGAATGTGGAAAAACCATCCATACCATTATCAGAAAGCTGCTTACACTTTCATGAAGTATTACCTTGTCTCCTTCTAGAGTTCATATTTCTCAACATGGTGTACCACAACCTATAAAAGAAATCTAGTTATAAGATGTTTTTTTAAACCCAGGTCTTCCAAAATAAACAGAATCCCAAAAGGTGTTAACTACAGGTTTACATAACGCATTGTAGAGATGTGTACTGCTTAGATCCTAAATGCTTATTTCACAATGATTACTTAAGTACAGCCACATCGCAGAACTTACTGATAGAGAAGCCTGCCAAAAACATCACATGTACATGTCTATTCTATATAGGCAGAACTCACTGGGAACTTGCAGAATGACTTAATTTGGCAGATGTCTGCTTAAGAGTGAAAAGAAGAAAGCGAAAGCAAAGAACATTGTGCTTATGAAAGCCAAGTTACTAATGTTAAAATTAAAGATTTTGTCTTATTTAATTGAACCGTAGACTTGACGCGTTCAGCAAAATCAGTGCCTAAATGGCTGTGCTTCAAAGCCCCTTGAGAAAAGAGTAAATATTTCTGCATCTCTTCCTTTTTGTTTTCTGACATTTTGACATTTTAAAATGGTAATCCTGTAAACCCCTTTTAAAGATTTTCTTTGTTAAGATATGAAAAGGCCTAGCAGTTATGTGCTTCTGCATTGTAGATATCTCCATCATACAATATGTGAGTGTTGTGGATCACTGGGTTTATTAATATGATTAAAATTATAATGGAAGGGAATGCTCCCTAAAATTATTTTAATATGCTTTTGCTGTGAAAAATCAAGGCTGGACTACATGAGCGGGAGCTGAACCCTTTCTGGAAAGATGGAGGGACTGGTCTTCCTACAGAGAACAGCAGTGAATCATGGTGTAAAAAAGGTAATGTCTACAGTTGACTGATGGGGTTTAACTCGTTCCTTCAACTCCTATAACAACAGAAGACCTTCTTTTTGAAATCCTTTTGTGCTCTACCTAAATTCACATTTTCTGAAAGTGAATTAAAACCTGTGACAGGCTTTTCCTTGGAGAAATAAAAAAAGATTTAATTCAAAGCTGTAGATATGGTTTTTGAGGTGTAATAGAATTCCGGGGCTGTTAGTTTCACAATTGAATGTCGTACAGCAGCAAATTCTTTTGAAGCCATCGTGCTCAACTGAGATTACGCAATGGGAGAAGGTCAGATTTTTTTAGAGGCATATTTTACTTTCTAATGTTTTCTTTTGGGACTAAAGGACATTCTAATAGGATGGTAATGTAAACAGTGAGCAAATTTAACATTGATTAATGACAACTAGTTGTGCCCTATTTTTCACATTTTGACTACACTGCCAGATAGGAATGTTTTTCCTTTATTTGCATGATTTATATGCTTATTTGAGGATGTTTATGCAGAACTGGTCTTATTTTGAAGATGTTACTGAGTATATCTTCCTCTGCTGTCTGAACTTACCTGCCTTTTAACATATCTAAAGCGGCTTTATGCCTTATGGACCAATTTGACAGTTTCCCACCCCACTCTTTGGTCTGAAGCTGCCAGTTTCAGTTTATAGTTTTACATCAAAATTTGAGATTGGGGTTCTTAACAAGTAAATATTAATTAAGTGAAGTTTCTTATTGCATGTTATTTGGTGTACAGCAGCACGTCATCAGCCTCTTATTGCAGATTGTAAAATATATATTTTCTGGATTCAGTTTATGTTTGACACTGCTTTTGCAGTCCAGCAGAACAGACAGTTTAAGGGGCAACAGCTGTCCAGAAACAGGAGGTTTCAGTCAGTTGCTCAGATACCTGTACTAAGAGATTGTTACTTTCATTGTTTGTTTTTTTCCTTTACTTCTGCTGAGAGCATATTGGTCTTTTTTCTTCTGTCAACTCCAACAGATCTCTTCCTAGAAAAATGTTTGCAGTTTCATTCCCTGTTAACATTTTAGCAAGTACACTACTTTCTGATTAATTTCTCATTAGTGGTTGAATGCAAGATTTAGAGAATGCTTTTGTTTTTACATATGCCTATTTAGGAAGATATACAGCAGAATTTCTGTTTAGTTTTTGGCTTTAGCCTCAGATTTTCTTTCAAAAGCATACCCTGGTAGTCCCTCTACATTTCTCAATTATGCATCATGTTAAGGTGAAAATGGAGGGTTGTGTGTATGAATAGTGAAATGTTACCCCTGAGTTTATAACAGCAGACTTTTATTTGTCTTATTCACTGTAGACTTACAGTTGATTTATGTTCTAGGGAGTTTTCTTATATTTAGTACATAATAAGATAGAAAATTAGCTTTATACTGTCCTTGGAGGTTTTAGAATTTGCTTGTGCTAATCCTGAATCTGAGGTTTTAAAATTAATGGAAGATCTACATTCACTTAGTTTTAATTCACATCCCCCAAAAAGTAAAAAAAATACTACTTAAGTCCTTGATGTTTTCCTCCAAGTAAAAGATTTACTAATTTAATAAATTATTATTAATTGGATAGAAAATAGTATTATATGGTTGTTAATATTGGGTTGATGTCATTAGTGGAGTATCACAGAAATCTGTATTAAGACCTGATAAAAGTATTCAATATCCTGAAAGGCATCGACAACTCAACCCAGTGGTCTTACTTAGAATGATCAGTGAAACTCAGACCAGAGCACATGAGTGGAAACTATCTGGAAGTGCATTTACAACAGGGAACAACAGGCACTTCTTTAACCAAATGATTTTGCGAGTATGGAATAAGATACCCAGAAATGTTGTTTAACCCTAATGCCTTGTCTTCTTTCAAGGAACAGCTTGATGAGATTTTCAGATTTACAACCAAAACACCTAGATGGGCGGAGTGGCTTTATGTCATTTTGATATTATGCTCATATTAAAGCAAGTGGAAAACAATTATAGAACATATGAAAACCATGACAAAAACAAACTTATAGTGCAGGACTACAGAGTTTAAAATCAAATGTGCCCAGCAGCCATATCACCCTGCAACATACAACTGGCAACCCACTGAAGCTAAGCAGGTGTGAACCTGGTCAGTAACTGGATGGGAGACAAACTGGATGGGAAAAACTAAGGTTGTTCCTGGAAGAGGTGTTAGTGGGGCCAGCAGGGGGCACTCACCCTGCAGTCTATGTGGATCTTAATGCCCCAGTATAGTGACGGGGACACTATACTGTAAAAAGGTGCCGTCCTTCGGATGAGACGTAAAACCGAAGTCCTGACTATCTGTGGTCATTAAAAATCCCTGTGCATTTCTCGAAAAGAGTAGGGGTGTAACACCGGCATCCTGGCCAAATTTCCCGTTGGCCCTAACCAATCATGGCCTCCTAATAATCCCCATCCACTGTATGAATTGGCTTCATCGCTCTGCTCTCCTCCCCCCTAATAGCAGGCGGGTGCACTATGGCTGCCGTCGCATCTTCCAGGTGGCGCGCTTTGAGTGGAGTGTCCAGATAAGCGCTATGGATGTGTAAGCGATTATGTTCTTAACAATGAGCTTAAATCTCTCAAGAGTTTTGAAATGGCACTTATCACTTTATTTAATGAAGTCACATTTATTTTAGCACACCTATACAGATTTTAGCATAGGATTGTGCAAGGAAGCCACAATTATCCAGAGACTGCAGATAATGTGAATCTTACAATTTGCCTTTTATAATACAAATGAATATAACAAATTAGTTCTAAAGATATGCAGGTATCAAGTGCGTTGGAATTCTCATATTTTGGTGTTCTGTACTTCTGTATTTCATGTCACTGACATTACTTTGGATTGATTATTTTTAAGTAGATCCAGAGATAGAAATTAGACTTCATTGCAAAATACTTACTGTAAGGAATGCCTCTGAATCTGCCACTCATACACCAGTATATGGTATGTCTCTGCTAGTGCAGAACAATGTGACATCTGTTTTCCATTTTGTTTCCAAAAGTAACATAATGAATTCCTATGCCAAAATAAAGCACTTTGTAAGTGCTTTATTCTTTTTAATGAATTAAGTTTAATTAGTTTTTTGTTAAATACTGTACATCACAAAAGCCCATAAAGGCAATTCAGCACAGTACTTATAAGAAGCAAGATTAATTACTTTGAAGAGCATGGCTAATATAAGTCTCCAGAGAAGCTTAAGTAAAGCTAAGAGAACATTTGTCTAAACTTTAGCATAAGCACAGACACCTCTGAAAGATTTTATCTTGAATAAACTGCTCTTATTATTAGTAAAAACCCCAGAAGTATTCTGCCAGTTCCAGCAATTAAGGTATTACTCAGAAATGGCAGTTAATTCTCTAAAGTGTAATTATGTTTTAAAATATATAGTATATGCAGAGCTAAAAGCCATATGACTCCATTGTGGTGGAAATGGGTATGATCTGTTTTGGGAAACATAATGGGAAATACCATTCTGTCTGTTACAGGAAGCATGATGTCTGTGATTTCCTGAGGGCATGAATTTCAGCTGCTGATAGATATCGTCTTGCTACAATTTGTCCGTGTAGAAATGGTGTCTTAACATGGGCGATCACAAAATGACAGTTGTGTTATGTATTAATGTACAGCACTGAATGCTTCACCTGACCTTCAGTCTTGCTTGGAAATGAAAGTTCCTGTGCGTGCTCATTATGCCCCATTTTATTACAGCATGATAAATTGATTGTGCGATCATTTTGTTGCCGCTATCCAATTACATTGACACATTATGAAAACGTTTTGACTGTCAAAGGCCAGGGTTGAAGTCTTCCAGTTGAGCTGTCATTTGCGAGACACTTCTTTGGATTTCTAATGGGCTCTGGAACATGTCACTGTTCATTCTATCCTTGGTCCTAGTTTGTAGTAGCTAAATTGGATGTGTGTACCGAATTGAAATGTGCTTTCCGGCAGTGAAGTATGTGGCAAGAAAGCAGTTTTATATATAAAATGAATCTGGAACTTCAAATGGATCTGAATTAGACAATCACATTAAAAGTATATGTACAAGTATATATACAGATTACATGCTCACAGCCGTCATAATTTGTCGGTACAGAATTCTAAAACGTTTCTGTCTGTCTTTCTTTAGTTGCAGTAGTTGATGATGGAGGTCTGAGTTGGCTCAAAAAGTCTTATCAGCGCATGAGGGAACAAGCTGAGAGAGAGAGTCGCAATCTGGAGGATGTAGTGGCGGAGAGATATGGGGTGAGCCTGTAAAATATGTATTCATTACTTAGAAACCTGTTTTGTATCCTCACTTTCCTTCTTCAATGACAACTGTTCTGGCAGTTTCAAGATTTGGGTCCAGCCACTGGAATAATGTCTTTACTGATATATGGAAAATGTGCCTGGCTGTGTTACAGGCAGTACTTCATTAGTAATGACCCACAGCCTAGTTCACTGTTCCTATTTAATCCTTGTGCTACCAGAGCAGTGAACTGTGTTGCATCAAGCTACTTGCTACTTTCTTCAGCTACAATGTAATGTAATAATCAAAGACTACTGTAATTTAGAAGTGGCAACAGCAATGTAATACAGCCCCCAATACAAATTAATAGAACAGCTTCTCACTGTGCTATCATCCAACTGTTTTCAATAAATGCTTAGTCCAATACTGGGTTGCAGTCATCTGGAGATTATCCTGACAGACAGTAGACACATGGAGGACATACCCAGTCCAGAGGGCATACGTACTCGTGCACTCACACATGTATACTGTACATGCATGTTTTTGGACCCAAGCTCAGGACCCAAGAGCTGTGACACTAATGCTTAAAGTAACACATTCTTTTTGCTAATTAATTGTACAAAAAGCTAACTATAGACATCAGTATGAAGGCAATGAAAAACTATAGCAGACAGCTTTGACATACAAAACACTTAGTCCACTCATTGTCTTAAAAGGCATAAGTATGAAAGTATAATATATAAAAATATATTCTGTATATTGGAAAAAAATATAGACTGCTATTTTTTCTATCCAAAACAGAGGTTACATACAGCTGAAAAGTGTTTAAAGCAGAGGATGAAAATGTGTTTTTCAGTGGATGCAATCAGAATCAAGTGAGTTAATAAAGAGGTGGTAATTTGAACTTTGATACAAACAGTTCAGTTGCACTCAGAATATAGTGCTAATTTATCTGTGCTTGTCTTCAGCACAGTCTTTAACACATCCACTGTTTCATGCTCTTCAAATTGAAAATGTACTGAAAATAGAGTAAGTGCCACCATGCTTTCACACCTTGAGAGAATGCAGCTGATTTTAAGTCACATATCTAAATTATCTGCAATTTATTAAAAATCTGCAGTTACATTACTTAAGCAGAGGCCTTTTTAATTAAAGCACCAGTATGCCATTGTGATTGCAATTGATGCAATAATCGAATTAACTCTATTAAGTGAGTAAGCGGGTTCAAAGTTTGACATTTGGATGTTTACAAAGTTCACAGTGCTGGGCAGCTTTTTAAAATAATTGTAATCCCAGTGATCGGTACTGAAATCCATTATATGGCATGTCACAACTACAGGTTCAAATCTCAAATATGTTTAAGCTTTCTGATCTCTGTTGGCCAATAATAAATGTAGCTTGGCTGGCAAGTGTTTAATATCTGTTTTTTTCTAGTCAATGGAAAAGTTCCAGAAGAGACTAGAAGAGGCTGAAAAGGCAGCGTATGAGCAGAGCTGGAAAGACAGGGATGGTGGACGAAAGAGATGGAGGAAAGAGGACCCTCAGGCTTCAGACAGTGACCACCCATCAGACAGCAGGCTCAGCAGGGCTGAGGACAGACCTCATCACCGAGGAGAAAGAGGGGGACATGGGCGATGGCACAAGGGTGACGAGGAGCTCAACAAACCGCGGGACAGACAGACAGAAGAGAGAGACACAAGTTCTACAGAACGGTCTCGGTCCCAGCGTGAGAGCCCCAGGCAGTGGGAAAGAAAGTCCTCTTCATTTCAAAGAGCCACTGGGGTCAAGTTTCTCAAACCCTCAGAGACCGATGATACCCCTAGTGGAAGGTGGAATGTAAAACCCACAAGCTCTTCTGCTTCTGCACTGACTCAGAGCTCTGTAGGGTTCCAGAAACCTAATTATGACGACAGTGGTTGCAGCAATATTCTATCCTGGAAAAAAGAGAGCACACCTTCAGGTGCTGGAGAAGTGAAACAGACTCCCAAAACATCAACAGCATCAGAAAAGATATCTGAGCCAGCTAAGGGAGAACAGGAAGTATCCAAACCTCAGAGACAGACCACGCAGCACAGGTAAGGGGTTGTGAGCTGTAGTAGGAAAACTGAGATTGAAAGTCTCAAAAGGGGCAATGCTCATAGATGACAGCTGTTTAAAATTTTTGTCATTAAAATAAACTCACATCATAGCTCTTCAGACACTTTGGTCACCGTAATATGTCCTACAGACCTTTCAAGACTAAACACTTTACCCATGTGTGTGTCCAGCACCAAGGTCAAAACTAAAGAAAACGTCTGCGGACCTTTATTTTACCCTGTCTTCAGTACCAACGACACGTTAATTTCAAGCAAATAATCGGCTTGATAGTATAATTTCCAAATACTATAATCTCACACTTAAAGGTCAGTGTTACTTTGTAATCATAGACTTTTACAATGATTAAATGAAATCTGAGTAGCCCCAAACCAATTACCCCAGTTAACATTTCGTTAGTGCTTCATCCCGATTTGACTACACACATTCTGATCTGTGTGTTCACATGTTTGTTGATGGCTTCCCAGGATTCATGCTTGCTATTGAATTGTGTGATTTATAAGAGCTTAACTTTTGCACATTACCTTTTATTGCATTTTAAATCTTCTCCCTTGGCTGTTTTTTTTTAGCTTTGGCTCACTGAAAGTAATAACAGTGCCAGAGATTGGAATACAAATGAGTTGTGTGTGAATGTGGTCTCTTTCTTAGTTACTTCAACAATTCCTCTTCTTTCCTCTGGTAATTTCTGACTTTATAGTGAAGTTTGTCCTTGACCATTTTGTCTTTAGTCGTCCCAGCTGTCCAAAGTCTCTTAAGAAGTTTCTGCTGTTTCAGATGCCAAAAGAACATCAGTCTGGTCTACATTCAGACGGCTGTTGCAGTTGATGATTTCCTGAAAGCCTGTTCATTCACCATTAAATCTCTCATCTGCATAGCCCTTCTTCTTTTAATTGCCTTGCTTTATGGTACCTGTATTAAAAAGCAAACTGGTACAGTATTTAATATTCGGAAAACCATCAGCATGAAATTTTACATTAATTGTCAGAAAATGTAAATTTCTTCCAGGAAATGAGTTTTATCCTGCACTTGCTAAAGGGCCATTTTAAGAGTTTAAAAGCCTGTGAAGTAAAATAAAAGAAAGATGTATGTCTGTTGACATTCTCAGAAGGTATGATTGATGACTTTTCAGTTTTTTAGAGAAAAAAACTGAAAAGTCATCAATCATACCTTCTGAGATTATGGTGTGTTTTATGTCTCATGCAACACTCTGAAGGTCAAATTTGATCAACTGATCAAACCCGAAAAGGAGCTGAGCTAATTTTGTGAAATATGTTTTAGTTTCTCTTATGAGTACTATCATATCACTTACTATCATAGTTGTTGTATTGAAAGATGCTATCCCTGTGTTTTGCTCTTTTTTTTTGCTGGAGTTGACATGATTTAGAGCCGTAAGCTTAGGTTTAGAGAAAATCGACATCCACATTTCCATTCTGTACAGCTGCCTAAGAAAATGCTTGTTTCTCTCTGTTACTTTCATTTCCTGGGCATAGTAATCCTGCAGACCCAGGTAGAGATGTAGTTAGTGAGGAACAAGGAGAGGTGCAGATACTCAGCGATGAAGACATGAACAAGCTGGGAGCAAAGCTGGTCAAAGCAGAGCTGATGGGAAACACTGTAAGTTCTTCTTTTCAAAACAACATTTTCAGTTATTTATATATGTGTCTGTTGTGACTGATCGCTGTGCTCTCTCTGTGGTTAAGTTGTACGACATTTATTATCAAAGTCATCTTTTCTGAGACAGCTCCCAAGTGATTTCAACATCTGTCATATCTATTTTCCTTATACTTGCTAGAGGGACATGGGAGAGACCCTGAAGGAAAACAAAACTTGTTTTAAATATAACTCCTGGTAAATATCTGTCTGCCTTAAAGAAGTTTAAATATTTGATGTCAGGAACACCTAGTACTTGGGCATATTGGAGTCATGATTAGCGTCCGATACTGAAAACATAAACAGTCTATCAAAAAGAGAACATACTTTCCACGCTATCATATATCCTTATACTGATGTGTGGTGAGCGTTCTGGCGCACTATGGCTGCCGTCGCATCATCCAGGTGGATGCTGCACATTGGTGGTGGTGGAGGGGAGTCTGAGTGGAGTGTCCAGAAAAGTGCTATATAAGTGTAAACAATTATTATTATTATACTGAAAACAGTATGAAGATAACACTGTTCGCCCTATCATGTCTTTCTGATTTTCTGAAAAACTCCAGGGTATTGGCCTAAATAACGTGGCACATCATCCTATGCATTAATAATTCTCAGTGTAATCAAAAATCCCTGCCTTTATTTCAGCTTGATCTTTGGTAGAATTAAGAGCTAGAGCTAGTAAACATTCCACATTCCATTGATAGATGCACATAGCGAATGGGGTAAATACTGTCCGCGATCACTAAGAGATTAGTTCCTTGCTTTAAAGGGGTTTTGAGAAAATATCTTTTTGACAAATAATGTATTTGTTGGATGATGAGTATTGGATGGTTGATTGGCACAGGTGGAAAACAAACTTCACACATTCTAATGCCAATCAGTCTACGCATTGGGTTACCCCCGCTTGATGAAATGCACACACCTGTAGGTTATCCTCTTATAAAAACATTGAAGCAATCTTTGAAACCCTGCAAAAGTGTTTTACAGTCCTTCATAATGGAACGTGTCTCGACAATATAATAAATCTAGTTTCACCTTAGCTTTTGTTTTCTGAGAATTCAGGGGGAGGCTAATTCCATCCTTATCTTATCCTTGCTCTTAAGAGGTAGAATATGTATGGTTGATCAGCTCTCGGCTTTCTCTGAGTTTTCTTCCCTTGTGTTGTGGATACTATATACAGTTAAGGCATGTTGGATTTCATTGTGCCCTGCCAGCAGACGCACGCTTGACGTTTTGTTATGAAGATGCAGTAAATCCTGAAGGATTGCTCACAGTTTCAGCTTTCTGTTTTCCAAAGAAATGCCACGGTGTTTTACAACCAAATTAAATCACTGAATTATTTGGGGAAAAAGAAGAAAGAGGAGAATTTGCAAAACAATCTGAAAGGTTAAAAAGGAGAGGAGGCAAATCGGCAAACCTAGTGAAGTCTAGACGGGGAAAAGGATGCAGACAATATTATGAATGTGTATGTTCCATTGATTAACCTATTTGGTAACAAAATTAGATTTCACACATTGTCTTATTTATATTGCAATAGCTTCTCCCAGTTAAAATAGTTTTTTTTCTGGAGCAACTGGTCTATATATTTCTCAAAACATTAAATTATTGCTCTGAGGACTGAAACTTCATTTAAAGCGAAAAATAAAGATGGAAAAATGCTTCATAATAGTTTCATAATTTTCTGTGAAAATTAGGGCCCTATAGATCAATATCTCAAAAGTGCTAAAATTCTTAGGCATGAACCCCTGAGTATTGGAGTCAATGGCATTTGTTTTTAATGCCTTTCAACTGATTGATAGCACAGCAGTTTCTTGTTGTGCCCCTTTGAATATTTTAAATGTATTTCAGCAACATATTCTGCCTAGTGTCATGTTGGTTTGTCGCCTTACAAACTGCACCCAGTAAGCAGGTTTTACCCAAGAATATGTTATAGCTTCATGTTTTTTTCATTTGCCCAGGGAAATGCTTTTTATTCTGAATGGTGCTTGTAAATGAGTTGATAATGCTAGTGACAATGAGCTCTGTGGCTTTTGAAAAGACAGTGATTGTCTGTATTTCAGAATATGGTTAACAAGCTGAAAGCCCAACTGGAGGCAGCCCGCAAGGCAAAGGAGAGCCAGGTACAAAAGGCATCTACTGCTTCCCTCTCAAGAAAGTCAGAGACCCAGGTAACCAAAATAATTTCAGCTCATTTGAGAAATGTCTTTCACATTTATACCCATCTGGCCGTCAGTAGTCTGGATAAATCAAGAAGACTGCTGCTGGATATTTTGGAGTGTGTAAGTGCCTGGGGATTTCCTAGGAATCATGTAGCCAAAGCACCTATCTGTTAAAGATTTTCAACAAACATCTGCCTTTTCCATGGAGTTGGTATTCCAGACATTTTTGTTTTTGCCAGGCTTTATTTTTTTATGTTCATGCCATCCTCTCTCTCTTAATTTTAAGGACTTTTACGTTTTTAAAAGTTCTTCTTTTCCCTCAAGTATTTAAAATGTCATTATTTCTTTATGGTGCTTCATGCTTTGCTGTGCTTAATTATACACTTAATGATTATGAGAAAGAGCTTAACCGAGCATCTTAATGATAGAAAACAAATGGTGGTTAATCGAATACGCAGTGAGTTTTTTTTTCCCCTATTAAAATCTCCAAAGGCTTGTGTAGTTAATTCTGTGTTTCGGAAGCCAGGGATAATTTGCAGTGTAGGATGCTCCATTTCCCAGTTTGCAATTTTACAATATGCAATTAGGACTTGCTCTGTAAAAGGAAGCACAATTGCTGGGATGTATTGTGTTCTCTTTCTCACTGTTCTTGCAGCACTATGACAGTGGGGAACGTTTAGGCCACATAGAGATCTGTCAGTATTTAAACAAATATGAATTGCTCACTAAAGGGATTTAGCTCTCAGATTAAACAAGTTCAAAATGTTAAGCTCTTTTGTAAACTTGGAAATGTTTCTTGCTATGAATCTCATTTGGCTCAAATGATTATTCTTTGCTTTGTAAAGGATCCATCCTCTATGTTTTGGACTATTCCTCCCATGGGATCCCAGAACTGCGGCCCTTTGTTATGCTTAGTGAACACCAAATAATAAACTTGGATGAAATGTCATTCGATACTTTGGTAACTGTTGGTAATTAAAACTCTAGGTTATACTCCAGTTTCAGAGCAATTTTGCAGTGAATATTCAGAGTGTGTAAACAATTGAACTGAAGCAATGTTTTCTGCCAAATCTTGATTTATTTGTTCTTATCAATGTCTGTGTTCAGATTTACCTAACACGGAAGATTTATTTATGCTAAACGAAAAATGATATGATGTCTAAGAACATATGACTGCAAAATTGGATTTAAACCAATGAATTTTTGACGTATTAACATTAACACAAAGCCAATTTGCTTTTTTTATAAGCATGTTCATATTTAGTAAAAAGTAAATGATAAACAAAGTGAAAAATAAGATTAAAACACATTTGTGGTTACTTTTTTCATTTAAAAGCCTTCATTATCTTCCTTAGATCTCAATGCCATAGCTTTGTATGGTATAGTAAGTGATAGCTGAAGTACTGTCAAACACAATGACATGACAAAACACATTCCTTAGTTTAGTGCTTTGTGCCTTTTACAAATGTCTTGGAAATTGAATGCTTTTCTTGCTCACTAATGTACGTAAGTGTAATTTAAGCTTCTTCACCAATGTTCATAAATAGAATTGATTTAAAGTAATTCCACATTCAAGGCTGATATGTGGAATTTTCTTTCTGAACAGTTAGTGAATCATAGCTTGGATTATCAAGGAATTGGCTGGCGTTTTTTAAATTTGATTTGTTTTAAACCCTAGGCTGATAAATTCAATGTGAGTTCCAAATATAATTAACCTTAGAAGGAATAGTGTTTTAGAGGGTTGATGTTTCCTAAAAATATTTTTTGTTTTACTCCTCATTGTTTCCCTTTACTAAAAGCATAATGGAGTGAATGCTATCACCACATGTAGTTTTTTTTTTAAATAAGGAGGCTTTTAAAGTTATTCTCCTATTGTGTTTTATATTGTCTTAATCCAGTGTATAGGTTTCACATTTAGTTGGGGTTCTTTTTTTCAAACTTGAAACTTGAAAAAATGAAATGCTTTGAAACTGCTGTGTGTGACTGAGTGTAGAAACGCATCAGCCTTGATTTTGATGTGAACACATAATCATGCTGAAATCAAAATAGTTTAAATTTGCAATGAAACGGATCCTCCTTCATTTTGGAATTGACTGTCAGCTAACCCCCTAGAGCTGTCTTCAGACTGTTTTTAGCAGAACTTACTGTAGTTTTCAAGTCCAGATTCAGATTGTTTTAATCCCATGGAAGTGCATTTTAACATTTACTTCTTATCTTATGATTTGTGTGTATCATAATGGTATATTATCGCTGAACGTTTTTAGAGGTGATCTAAGTCTCTGTGTGCCTGTATTGTGTTGTGCTGATTTCCATGCTGCCCTTGTCAATGGTCTAGGTTGAAGGACAAGAAGAGACAGACCATGAGGTTGTTCTCTTCAGGACAGATCAATCTGGCAGAGCTTGGCCAGTCAGTGCTCCCTCACAACCCCTGGAGCCGAAAGGAGGACGGCGTAAGAAACCGATGGTAAGGGGAAAAAATACTCACCTTCTTGGAAGTGTCAGCAAATGGGAACTGAGTATGGATAATATTCAGAGTTCTCTGATCCTCTCCTGTTACTGCTTAACCAGGGACCTGCTTAAGTGCCACGTCCCAAGAATTGTGCCAGCAGCACAGTCCAACTCACAACTGACAACCCACTGAAGCTTAGCAGGTGTGAGCCTGGACAGTACCTGGATGAGAGACCTCCTGGGAAAGCCACAGTTGCTGCTGGGAGAAGTGTTAGTGGGACCAGTAAGGAGCACTCTCACCCTGTGGCCAATTTGGGTCCTAATGCCCCATTATAGTGATTGGGACATTATATTTTTAAAAAAGGTGCAGTCTTTCTGATGAGACATAAAGTCCTGACTCTCTGTGACCATTGAAAACCCCAGGACATTTCTCAAAAAGAGCCGGTGTCCTGGCCAAATTTCCCCCTAGCCTTTACCAATCATCACCACTTAATAATCCCCATCAATGAATTGGCTTCATCACTCTGTTCTCCTCCCCTCTGATGTGTGGCGAGCGTACTGGTGCACTTTTGGAGGCTGTCAAATCATGCAGGTGGGGCTACACATTGGTGGTGGTGCAGGGGAGTCCACATTACCTATAAAGCACTTTCAGTGGAGTGTCCGGGAAAAGTGCTATAAAGTGTAAATAAAAAATAACAAAATTACTGTTCCTCTCTGTTTCACAAGATCCACGTAGCTTTTCATGTTGAACCGGCAATCCAGTGATATTTCAAATTATTAACTAATAAATTATATTAGTATATGTGTTGATTTGACCATGTACATCTTTACAATGCTACATGGATGTAATGCATTGTTAATAAGCTGAACGTGCAGTGCAATAAGTTACTTAAGGACCATTTGTGGAGCTAATTATTTACAGATTGCAAGAGCAGAATTCTGGTTTCATCTTTAAGCCCTAGACCGCAAATGCAAGAAAAAAATGTTCAAGATATTCTGTTTACAAAGAGTCAAAGTTTCAGTGTTCAGTGTTGATTCAGTTCAGCTGCAACTCCCTTGGAATGTGGGGACCCAGACAGTTCTCATTAGTCTGTTCCATGATGGATCTTGATGGCTGCTTGCTTCATTTTGCAGAAGGAATAAGTGGGGAGCGATGAGCTCGTTTAGAGTGCACTTTCCAGAGGGGTAGGCGTGGGTTGTTATCGCTCTGTTTTTTGATGGTGGTGTTAGGCAAAGGATGTCAATATTCATCGCATCCCAGCTTTAGCCAGACAGAGAGAGATTCAGGCTCTGCTCAGGGAGCTCAGTTATCAGACAGTGCAGACTCTTTCATGGCTTTCTGCAGGAGACTACAAATTATCATGAAAATGATTCATATTAAAAGGACCTAAGACGGTTGCCTGAAAGTGTCTTTTTTTCTCTGTGGTTAATCACGTGAAGTCCTTTTAAGTTATTTTAAGACGACAGCAAACAGTCAGCAAGTTGTGAGTAAAAAAAACTGTGAATGTAGAATGGAGCTTGGGTTTGCGCTCACAAAGAATTTACCACAGTGCTGTCTTGGATTTTCAAATGAGATAATCTGTAAATTCCATAATCTACACTTTATACAGTACGTCACAAAGCTAGCGATCAATTGTTAAAAAGGTATCGTGGTTGTTTTTGCTGTTGGTAACTGTATGGCTCATATGCAGTGTTACTGCATAGCAAGTCGATAGAATGATAGAATATCCTTCCTGTCGTTTGATGTCTGGCTCAGTTTGCAAGTTGGGTTTTCTCCACAGGTGGAAACTCATCGAGATGGGGAGAGGGTGCGCTACTTCCAGGACGATGACAACATTGATTTGCAGGAGATGGTGAAGAGAGAGAAGATGGGCACTGCAGAGGACCAGAATGCACTCTATTCCAGAATGGCATCGAAGGTGTGTGCCAAGTGGTTCCAATTTATAACTCTGCTGACAAGCAAGGCCCCATGTTCATGACTTCTGATAGGTTGCACTATGATCTTTTCTTCAGAGTTCAAACTGTGTAAATTAATTTAGGATTTTGAAAGTGTTGTGTGACAATATATTAAGTTTTATAGTTATTAGCTCTTCCGTTGTTTGTTTTTTGTGCACTGAACGAGCAACGGAAGTGAAATCAAGGCTGTACAGTCTGGTCTTATTTGCGGTGCAGTGGATTCTCTGCTGTCAAGGGGAGTGCCGCTGTGTTCGCTTTGAGCACACGAGTGACTGTGATCGAACCCGGGCAAGGGCAGAGTAGTGCTACACGAGTTACATTTGCACAAAGAATTATGTCCAATATTACAGCCATATCTCTAATCGGCATCTGAACAGATGCCACTTCTTCAGCTGCCCAAAACTGGTTGGTGTGACCTGGTGTATTTTTTCCAGTGTATACCACAATGTTTGTGGATTGAGACTGTTGCACTGAAAGTTTGTAAGTGAAGTAGGTTTGTAAAGGTATATCTATAATAAGGTGATTACTTGGCCCATGATAATTGAATTGTGCCTACAGTATTGGTCTTCATGCGATATCTTTGGATGACTACTACTAGCATCCAGAAAATTGAAAGGTCTGTATCGCTGTATAACTCAGACAAGTATTGCTGGATGATTTTGTAGCTACAAATACATATTTGATTCTCTCTCTTCTCTTAAGCATTTTACTGTTGCGTGCATTCATAAGAAGGAAAAATAGTTTTTTGACAGTGCCTGCTGGCAGCATTCATGTACTTGATGTGTGTTGAACAGAATGACGGCCATTGGTAAGAATGAAACTACAGGATTATTACAGAAAGAACAGATTCCTGTAGGGCACAAGTAATTGTAAGTGTTTTGCATTTGCGGTTTCATTTGTCTGTTAGCCTTTACTGATGTTCTCATCTATACTTATTAAAAAAAATACACTATGACACTGGCTCCCAAAGAGCTTGTTAGAATGTTTTTTAGATCAGGTTTGGGCCGTTTGTTGGAATGAAGATTATTCTTTGTCAAATCAGCATTTTTATTAGAGCATTTAGTGTTTCTATGTCACGTTGTAATTGCAAACTCGTGTGTAGCTGGAGGATGGGACTGATTCATTGGTTGAGAGGTAATTCACAGCAGAGGTGAGGAGTTCAGAAATAAAAAAAGTGGAATTGCATTGTAGAACAGATGTAGAAATTCATTATATTTTTGCATATACCCTGAGCAAGGAATCTTTCCTTTTCTTTCATTCTTTTTCAAATTGTATTTAGTAGGTCCCTTTGTGTTTTTGCAATTCTTATAATTACAGCATCTATAAATGAATCACTTGATATCTGATTCAGACATACTGTGGGTAAAGAGCAGAAGCCTTTTATGGCTGATATCTTAATATGTAAACTAGGCATTCAGCTAATGCCTAGACATTTGCAACAACTCTGATGTGACCTTGCACATCCTTGTCATGTAATCTCACAAGTCAACAAGTGAATGAGAAGACATGACAACACAATTCAGTATGATCTTATCTGCTCATGGGTGAAAAGAACAATACTAATTTCATATAATGTTTAATTTCTTCCTAAATTATTTAATTTCTCTAGTATCTAGTAATCTTTTTGTCTTTTGCATGCTTTTTATGGCAGAAATATTCAACAGAAAACGTTAATGCATGTAAGTCTGCAAAAATGTGTCTTTTGTTTTTGTTTGTTTTAAATACATTCTGGAATTAGGATGCAGAACTGTGACGCACTTTTCTTCAGCTTGTCACAGTGTGCCTGTGCCTCAGTGAATTAATGACTCAATGCTGGCGTTAAATGTGAGCAAGGGCTGTTGTGCTTCCTGTAGAATTTACAGCAGCAGCACCCCTAAAACCAGCAATAAAAAAAAAACAAATCAATGATTTAACAATATATTTCTATATAAGACTCTGAACCCTGGCTAGGACCACAGCCTGACATCTCTCAATTGCATTTGCATTCTGAAGTGCTTTTTGTTTGTACGATGAAAAACTGCCTTAAAAAGCTATCGTAAAACATACAGAAAGTCCATCTTCATCATTCATGGGATATTAAGCTCTATCTGTGAGTACATTGTAGCAAAAGGGTTTTAGCTGAGAAAACTCCAGTGTGGTGCCCCTTCATACATGTTCTCTAGTACAACAATTAATGCAAATTAGATGCATCTGAAGCACCTATAAGCCATCTAGATAAAAAGTCACGTATAAACATTTTCTCTTGAGCATTGTTAATATCACACATTGAAAAACCATAATGGTCTTGGAGCCTGAAGCCTCATTACTTAACACACCATGTGGCTTTCCTCTTAAATGTTCATAGACCTTGGTTCAGAGGGAAACAAAAATTAGATACAGCCCGTTGTTATTCGGTGATATGCTGCCAATAAAGCTATTTACTAAATTGTATTGAATGCAGTCCTGTTTTCCACATCATAGCAAAGGCTTAATGATGGTTAATAAATTCTTATCTTGCAAAACAAAGGCTCCTTGTGTGGCATAGACGTTTTATAAAAACAGGTAAACCTTGGAATACTATTGCTGGATTTAAAAAGGTTGTGCAAAGCCACACTTAGAATTTCATCAATCTGTTTTTATTTATTTAGGCAGCAGATTAATGTATTATAACAAGTGCTAATTTAGAAATCATTAGCTGGTTCTTTGTTGTATTAAATAGCTTATAATGACATTCGTGCTGCAGGTAAGTGACCTTTTGATTAAAGGTTAATTGCAAGTACTGTGCATCATGATGATGAACAGTGATTATTAATTTTTAAAGGTTTCTTTGTTGAATGCTATTCTATACATCATAAGCATTTAGCATAAGCATAAGCATCTCCACTACAAAGACATTTTATATATGTCTAACTATTGTGATGTAAAATAAAGCATCTCATAGTTTTTAAATGTTTAAGTCTTTTTAAACTTTTTTTCATGTTATAGCACTAAAAGGGTAAAGACATAAAGGCTTCTCATCTTGCAGCTGATCCAATCCATTCCAGTACAGACATCTGCTACAACCAACTCTTCAATTATTTAATTGATAATTAGGAGGATAAATCTAGCAAGTTTGTTTGCGTCAAAATACTGCATGTGGACAATACAGTATGTGGCACTCGATCATAATACTGTTTATGTGTGGATGTATTATACTACATTTCTGATATACTGTTTTAGTTTTAATAGTCTATGTGTCAGAAATCTTTTCTGTTTTCTCATGTTAACTACGAGGCACTCTTTAAAAATAATCCATGGTATATTATTCATAAGCAGATTTGATGCTTGCAGTCACTGTAAGGGTAATAAAGCAGTGAGCAACTTTAAAGTGATTTGTTTTTTGGAATAGCATAATTTCTGTCAATGGGATGTCACATCACTGATCAAGGCGCAATCCCATTTGAGTGGAGAGTGTATTTGTTTTTGTCACACTGTTAACAGTTTGTCTACTTGGAAGATTTATTTTCTGCCATCTATGTAAGCATTTTAATGGCTCTAGAAAAACAGAACTGTGTGGTCCTTTATGTCATGTTTAAAAATGTTGTCAATGCAGAAGCTAGTTGCTTTATTTTAACAGGTTTTCAGAAATAAACAAAAAATATTGGATGTAGGGTATAATATGTTTAACGAGATCCATCTCGCTTATTGTATTTGACATTTTTAATTTTCTTTTAATTGATCTCATTTGATACTTCTTTAGTTTCAAGGGCTAAATCAAAGGGTGTTGGTTATTCAGCATTATGTTTTATGTATGTAGTTCAGTTTGGAAAACCTCTAGAAGGAAAAAGGAGTCGCAATTCTAGTTGTTATTTTTTTGCCTATAAATAAGAAAATTGTGTGTTATTTGATCATATTAAATGTGTGTAATGTGTGTAATTCCTTTAGGGGAGGCATTATTAATAAACTCCAAAGACGTCATTGTTTCCATGGAGATTCAAAATGAAAGCGACAAACGTTACACCTTCAGCTTTCTGCGATGCCATCTTCTCAGTACAACTGCTGATCTAAAACCAGACAAATCTGTAAAAATTAGCCTTGTCTTCAGAAATGTAGGGTTACAGTATCTTAAGGATGAAATACCTAATAAATATTTTCCTTAGTTTACTTAAGCAAATGCACAGGGAAAGAAAATCTTATTTTCTTGTCTGAGAAACAAAATGTCTGCCCCTGATTTTGTGGAAAAGTTGTTTGTTTTCTAATGGTTTTCACAATATTTTGGTAATTTAGTTTTAATCATCCACATTCTGCTGGATTATAGCATACTTTTTTTACTTGGTGAGTGGAGAAAAATAGAAACGGAAAGTTGTTTTGAGCAGTTAAAATATTATTGAAATAATATGTCAATGACCTAAGGCTTTGTATCAAATCTAAGTGAATGGCTTTACATGAGTGGGGTTGTAAGAATACATTTTAATTTGTTTCTTTCTGTATCACAGGATTGTGTTCAGGAATATCATTTAGCTGGGGAAAGCCAGTTATCATTGCTTACACATAGGCCTTAGACAATAAACCTAAAACTGTATTCTTTCATATGGGGACAGTTTAAAAAAGAATAGCAGTAGTAGCCCAGGCTGAGTGAGATGAGATGTAGTTTTGCAAATTAGAAAGAATCACTGAGAGGGTATACTGCAAAGCAATTGGAATTAAAACTATAATTGTGTTTGTACCTTTTTTTTAAAAAAAAGTTAAGTTTAGCATCACTTCCAAACCCCCCAGTTTCAAGTTCAAGCAGGAAAATCTGCACCTCCTCCACAACTCTTTGTTTCCATGGACACTGAACACCACACTTTTCTCTAAAAGTAACCCTTTTGGAACAACACATTTTGATAACCAAATAAACTGCAGTACTACTGTACTACTAGATGACCTACTATATGTTGTTTACACACCACACCCATAGGACAGCTTTCTTCGACTTTATCCGTATTTCAGTACCACCCTTATAAAATAACAGCCCTGTGATCCCTTCTGTGTTGGCAGTTGATGGGGAGGACGGATGGAGATTACCACACCCTGGATGACATGTTTGTGTCCAGCGCTGCTCAGAGGGAACGTTCTGGCCTGGATGAGGAGAGACAGCGACAGAAGGCTGTCCAGGAGCACAGGCGTCTGGCTGGGCGCATGGAGAAGTGCCCCTTATGCTTCGACAGCTCAGAACTTCCTAAACATCTCATTGTCGCTATTGGCACAAAGGTACTGCTGAGCCGCTCGAGGAAGGAAGGAATAATACTATGCTTTGGTATAATGCCAAACTTTGCCAGGTATTCTTTTCTGGCTGTCCAGATTTAGAGTTCATCACAGATACATGAATAATGAAAACATCCAAACAAAGTGTTTGAGCTGTTTTTTTGGCAAGAGAAGGAGAATATGTATTATCAGGAGAATAACTGGAAGTTTAAATCTACATCGCCAGACAGACATCTTTTTATTATTTGAATGCTGAGCATCAAAAGAAAAGTCCCAGTTTTTCTGTACAAAGGTTTTAGAAAAATAAAGTATAAGGATTTTGGATATTGATTAAACTGTTTTTGATGTTATTTTGGTTTACTGATCCTTCCTGTCTAACTGTGACTCGAGTGATGTTCACCATTACATAGTTACTAAATCTCCTCTAGTTACTAAGAGTTGATAGATCCCAGGAGGTGAGGTGATTTAAGGTATTGAATGTCAAGCCTGCTGAAAATAAAGAAAGGAACCATACTGTAGGTCCCGCCATTGAAGAGGACAAGGCCTTTGTGTCCTTGTATGACAAACACAGTCTTGTCAGTGATTTCACAATTTAGGATTCCACAGTCCATCAGTGGTTCCACAGATCCACATATCTTGCCAAAATTAATGGGGATGTCACAGTGTGTCGAGATTAATGTTAGCCTGAATGCACAGTGCAGCATTGATTGAAGCATTGAAGTCCTGGGACCAAATCCTGCCCTTCCTGTGAGCTCATCCTGATGTGACAGCGTTCTTGCAGGTCACCACATGTCCTCATGCTACTTGTATATTCATGGTTTTCATGTGAGGTGACAATGTGACAGTTATGCCCCCTTTGCCCTAGTCTCAAGAATTTTAAACCCTTTGAATATTTTTGAGATGGGTTTTAGCTACATGTCACCTCTAGGGGGTCAGAGACCAGTGAGCAGGCATATGTGTTCAGGTTCAATGAGAAGAATGGAAGAGAATTTTACAAAAGATGCCATCTGCAACCCAGTGTGACTAGAAGTGGCCACACACTGCTTGCCTCTGACTTTGACTGTAGACCTTCAGTTGATCAATCCAGACAATGACAAATGTTAGTTAACATACAGTAATCAATCTACCATTGTTGTTCAATAAAATGTGAGTTAATAAAAAAAAATTGCCTTATCACTTTATGTTAAAAATAGGTTTAAACCCATATTCTGTTAAAACATCTATGAAAGGTTTGTAAGGACTTGCTTCTTTCACAAACTGCATCAATCTTCCACTGGCTGATTATTGTTCTTACCAGTGTTCAAGAAGGAAAACCATGTGACTGTCCCATAAAAATTGAATATTTCATGGGTTCTGTGCCTTGAAGGATGAATGACAGGAGTTAAACTTTGATAAGTGCCAAGGAGATCGTTAGGGTCAGAGATAAAAGGACAGTTTAGTGCTTGTGCAGTTTTTGACATTATCTTTGAGATGACTAAATATAGAGATTATTTTACATCTAACACTGACCTAAATAGGATGTTTTATATGGTTATCAAATGCCAGCTGCTGAATCTTCAGGGGATTTTAAAAAATCAACCTTTCATATATGCTCTTTTTTGGAGACATGACAAAATCCATCTGAAGGGTTCATGAAAGCAAGATATAAAAGATTGTGATTTTTAATTTTCTTAACATCCTCCAAATGTGATTACATTTTATTTTTTTATTTTTAGGGCTCTATTTCCCTATTGCAATGTCACTTACGAAAAATCTAATTAATTTTTGACTGTTAACAGTTTCTGCTATGCAAAATTACTTAGTAGTAGCTGATCTTTAAGCAGGGATTTGCTCTTGATAAAGGCAGACAGACATTAAACAGTATTTTAATGTATTTTTTTTGTTGGAGCAGTACTAATACTGGCTGTACTCATTTTAACCTAAAAGTTAGTAATAGACATCTTCTGTATTTGCTGTCCTAAAATTGTATCACTCTTGAACAATTCTTGAGCTTGATGCCTTCTTTCTCTTGCAGGTATACCTGTGTCTGCCAAACTCTCAGTCTCTTGCAGACGGACACTGCTTGATAGTGCCCTTGCAACACCACTCTGCAGCTACAGCACTGGATGAGGACATCTGGGATGAGATACAGGTCAGTTACACCCAACTGTAGTGTCTTATACTCCTTGTAGGGTATCAAGCCTTATAGGTTATGATAATCGAAAAGGCTTGTTCTCTAATTAGCAGAGTTATTGTGTTCTTTGGGTATTGGGAAACGGAATCGGCAAAACACAAGTGATAAAAAATAAATACCAGAAATGTGGACCAGTAATTGAAACTGGTGATATAGAAACACATTCACTTGTATTGTTTGCGGTCTTTACAAAGCTGTCTGCTTCCCATTATGTTCTATGAAGAAATATGAACTTTTCCGTTTCTCTTTTTTTTTATTTTTTGATAACAAAATTGTATTTTTGTATAAGGCCATGTTACCGTGTACAAGAAGTCTCTTTTTGAGATCAGAACAAACACTGAAACAGGTGTAGTTCCAATAAGACCGATGTTGGTTCAGTTTTGGGGTATGCTCCAGAATGTGGAGAAGTATGGGAAAAGTGTGTCTTCAGGTCCTGTTGTGTCTGCTCCTGCTACTTTTTGAATAAATATGCACCCCTGTCAAACTAAATTTGTGACCTCATTCAACAGCGGCTCCGCAATTAGAGGGAGGGAACCGTAGGGAGTGCTGTGTATTCGAGACTGCTACAGTAACACCACCAAGGGCACCTGCTTTGTGTATGGGCTATTCAGGCTCAGACTAGGAGTGAATTGAATCTAGACCAATGACTCTGACTGCAAATGCCACACAAGACAAACAAATGGGCTTGGCTGGCTGGATTCCGATTAAATGCTCATTACAGCTGTCTTTTCACCTAGCCATGTCTAGTTTCATTGTAGATACTGCCAAGCCAGAGGTCATTAATAAAGATCAGACAAAAGCACAAGTCAGAGAGAGGCTCCATGTACCTTCATTTTATAGCTTTTCACACTAAAATCAATCAATGGATTTTTAAAATTCTTTTTCTGCAGTACCAAGAGGTCAATATAACCACTTCTGGAACAATTATCCCATTGTTGTACCATAATCACCTCAATGAGTCATGTCGTTTTTACAGTTTATGCATATAAGCATGTACATTAACAGCAATATATATACTTAACATACTAATTAAGTGTACATACTTAATATATACTTAAGTACTGTATATACATAAGTTGATTATATATAAGCTGTTGATCAACAGGAATATGTATGTAATGTGTTGACAGAATAGTTTTATATTTTAAATCAGAAAATTGTAAATCAGAAAATGAGCTCAGTAAGAAAATAAAGCAACGGTGGTCTATATAAAGCAGTATAAAGACGAAAGCAGTTTCCAAAGAGTATGTAAATGTCACTTACAGTTCAGTGAAAAAAGTGTCCAGTGTCGGATATTTTTCTGCTCAATTTAATCATTGTCAGTTGGTTTACTCACTCTGCTTTCATGGATTGATGTTGTTGTCTGAAAACCTGCCCATACGAAGAAACACTTCATTCAGTCTCTACAGAATTTGTAACAAATGACAAACATTGTTAGGCTTTCAGGCTTAGTTGGAAAATTATTTTTCAGGTTCCTTTCAAAATTCACCCAAACACATTCCACAGCCATGTTCTTTTGCATAGTGTTTGTATTCGTCCACTTCAGATTTACATTCATCATCAAAGCTTAGAATAAAATCTAGAAGGGAGAAGGATTCACATCTAACCTGCACTCCTGTTTTGGGTAGGATAGCCTGCCTCCCTTGAGGAACTTGTGAACTGTTTGAATTAAATGTTTTCTTTTTTTAATTGATCTGGGTTTTTCACCTAAGGTTTTTATCAAAGTCTGTTTATTGTGCTGTCCAAGTCATGCATCTGCTGTGTCAGAATTCAGTATGTATTTAATTCCTCATTTCTGTTGTGTATTTCATGGACCTTTAACTTTACGACTCTTAGGCCTCTGTACTAGATTATCCAATGTCTTGCCAAATATATTATGGCATTTGTATTTTATCTTAGTAAGTGATACCTTATAAGACAGCACAATAATAATAATCTGCAGCCCAGACTGTAAAATGTTCCTTTTGCTTCTCCCACTATGTTCAGTTATTCTTATACCTATTTTCGTGGTATGACCTTGAGTTTGGCTACAAACTGCCAGTGAACTGCTTTACATCCAGGTGGTGACAACAGGTCAAAAGAGGCAAATTACAGACAAATACTTAAATGCCATGGTAACTGTGCTTTTGTTACCATTTAATTGACTGTGTGCTAAATCCTACACCAAACGTAAATGGAAGTTTGGAGTGTGCTACATGCATGACATGTGTTGTAATGCAAAGACATTTAAAAGTAATGAATTCAAATGTATTAAATTGATTTTAAAATATTGATTTGAATTTCTCTCCAGTTCAGCTATTATGGGCTTTGTGATTCTATTTTTAATTTAAAACAAACATCACTCTTACCATTAAACACACACATACATTTTGGAATTTAATAAATATTAAAAAATAGGACTAAGAAATTGCTTTGGTGCATGATTTAATCTGTTTTGTAAGAATATTCACAAAATTTCTTAAGTTAAACTTCTCTTCAAAAGTAATTTAATGTGCTCTGCTATAGTACAAAAAGAGTGTTTATAATTAAATCAAATTAAAAGGTGTGGAATGTCTCTTTTTCACATTATTTTTTTTAAAGACATTAGCTGCAGTTACCAAGAATTAGAATTTAGATTAATAAGACAGCTGCCAAAACACAAAATGGAGTATAACAATGTCAAATCCTCTTTTCCTGTGTGAAACTTTTGTGAATTGTTTTCCATCTTCCTTCCATCTTTTTTATTTACACATCTTGGAATTCACTGCAGGCAGTAGCACACTATCTACACTCTACCTGTATCCTGTAATGTTTGGAATAAGACATGCTCATAATGTAAATCGATCTGATTATAGGCAGTATGGGACTGACTATCTGTGCATTTGGATCAGTGTTTATATTTGGGTGAAACCCAAGGTTTTGGTCTTAAAATTGTGGTTTAATATTTAAATATATTTAAATAAAATAAATAATTTATATTTAAATATAAATATTAAATAAAATAAATATTTTGTTTAAAGGGTAAGGTTACTGCCACATATAGGTTGGCATAGTCTTAAAGTTATGCAGTACAAGGTTTAAGGTGTTTGTATAGGATGTTGCGGGGGTCGTTACTGTGACCTAGGTTGTGGATTTGATTAGAAGTTAATTGCAGAATTGGGACAGATTTTGGGATGGGGCAGGTTTTGCTCAATGTTCCAAATGCTTTTCCACAGGCATTTCGCAAGGCCTTGGTGAAGATGTTTGAAGACCAAGACGAAGACTGTGTGTTCTTAGAGACTCATATGAATCTCAAGAAACGGCGTCACATGGTGTACGAATGCATTCCTCTGCCTAGAGAACTTGGAGATATGGCTCCTATCTACTTCAAGGTAGATCACAATTTACATGTAGTAAATGGCAGTCTATTGTTTTCTTGTGGATCACGTTTTGCGTATAATTGCAAGCTTTTTTTAGTTTGCACAGCACAATTAACTGATTTGGTAACATTAATATCTTTTAGTAGGCCACTGGGAATGGACTATTGCAGTTGTATTGCATTTACTGAATGGTTTCTTTTCAGCACTTCTTATTAAAAGTCCCAAAGGAACATGCCAATATAGAAAACAAATTTTATTGTATTGCTTTTTCTATTAATATTTGATATTTGTTCTGCGTCTGAAATGATCTCTTTATAGAAAGCTATTCTGGAATCTGATGAAGAGTGGGCCATGAACAAGAAGCTGGTGGACCTCTCTTCGAGGGATATTCGTCGGGCTGTGAGTTATGCTCTTCCTTTTCTTTTAAAAAGTGGGGAAAATGTGATATTAAATCACTGTGGTGTTGAAAAATAAAAAGTTTGCTTTTCTGTGTGTTCATTAGAAACCAGAAAAAAAGATAAGATAGATTTCATCTTTGGCAAACAATAAAAGCAGAGTGTTGTTGCTGGAAGTTTCCTCTTTAAGACATTAATTCATCTTATTCATATATAGAAGCCCTTTTCTACACTTTAAAGTATGAAATGTTTGATATATGCTTAGTTTTTCAAACTTTGATAACAGAAATAGCTGTAATATTCTGTAATATTCTAAATATAGTGCTATTCTATAACACAACCAGAGTTACCCAGGAAAGACTCATTCGCAGTGTTGAAAACCTAAGTTGGTTTAAGTTGTAAACAAAAGCTTTGTATATTCATCTCTGGCCATCCCTGATGCTTGGGAATTTAGTGCTCTCTTTCTTGTTTCCGAACTACAGCTTTTACAAAGGTTGGTCATTGCTCTGACTACGACTGTGCTTCTCTAGTAGTGTGATTACAAATTACAGGTGTAGTTCAGTGTGAGAAGGGCGTTCTTCTATTAACTTAATTTTTTCATTTTATTACATTTAGATTTAGAGGCAGTGTACCTGTTTCAAGGGATAAACTGTGATGATCTTGCGTGCTGTCTTCACATGTATATCTGTACCACAATAACCTGCCTTTTCGAATGACATCCGTTAACTGTGCACTATGTAGCTGCCAGTGAAAAATGTCATTGAGAAATGTCTTCTGTTTTAAGCACTCTGATCTCACTACTGTCCCTGCAAGCATTAATTGTGCTGATCACACTGTCACTCACAGTCAGGCCTGACTGGAAATGGATTCATTAGCTCAATGTGAGAGGTGCCCCTCTTATTGGTAATCCAGTGTCCAGCAGTCCCCTCACATATGTGGAGCACTCACTATTATTCTGTAGGTATGATCATTTTTGAGTATATTTAGCAGTTGGCTGTATGGCAAAATTATCGCCTATTGTCATACAGATACCTAAGGTTATATTTGTAGTTGTTTGTGATTTAAAGAGATATTTTGCCACCTTTTTTAATATCAAGGACATCTAAATAAATATTAAGCATGAACATTAGTGTTTTGCACTCTTCAGAGGGAAGGGGAAGAGTAAGTATTAGCAAAATGACACAATGCTTTTCCACTTATATTTTAATTGAAGAAATAAATTGCTATACCATATGGAACCAATTTATCTAAGTAATTGGTGCAGTTGTGTGAACTATTTGTAAATCCTGCCCTTGCTTTGTGAGAAGCAAGAATAAATGAGTTAGCTGTCTTGTGGTTTTGGTACTCAGTTGTTTAAAAAGTCTAAATCTTATTTTGTTTGATACATATTATAAATGATTGTAATTGTTTTTTAATATGGTATTTTTGTCCTGCAGGTTCCCAAAGGTCTTCCTTATTTCTCTGTGGATTTTGGACTTCAGAGTGGTTTTGCTCATGTTATTGAGAATGAACACAAATTCCCTCATTATTTTGGCAAGGTATTTGATTCCTTGAAGATGCCTGTTTAGTGCCTCCAGAGTGTCTTTGTAATAAAAGTCATTTTGTCAGCTGTCTTATTAAGACGAAAGGCTGTTAAAAAAGAATTACAATCTGGTTTCTGCTGTTCCATTGAAGGTGAAGCTAATTACAATATATTGTGTTTATTATTGACATTGCAAGTTTACTGCAGTAACTCATGCTGATAGCATATTGAGGTTGACTTATAGCCAATAGAATTCTCCATCCGGAGACAACATTTTTTAATTGCCATTGTTTAGATGTAACAAGTCAATATGCCAGCTAAGCTAATAGAGAACTGCTGATATTTTTGACAAAACTCTAGTGCGAGCACTCTCATTCATCAGTAAATGAGCCACATTCTGAGTGTGAGGTTGTTTTCTCTGGACCAGTTCATGTTTTTTTTTTCTTGTTTCACTCATTATTGTCAGGACAGAAGGGGAGGTTGTATTTCATATCTGTCCTGAAGCATTTAATTCATTAGTTGATTTATTCCAGTTGCACATATTCTAAATGGTGACTTGAGCCAAAAACAAAAAGAACATGCCTTTATAACCATTTTCCCTTATTAGTAAGTTAAAACTTCCCAGTACCAACAACTACTTGTCAGCTTAGCAGAGTTTATTTTTTTATTGATATTTAGTGGCATGATTTAAATATTTTTTTCTACCTTAAACCATTACTTTGAGGTTTTCCCCGCACATAAAAAATAGGTACTTCCACTGTCCAGTCTTGTCTGTGATGTGTATACAAAACCTGTATGCCTTTGACTCATTAATCTCTAAAACACTCATCCAGGCTGCATTTTCATTTATTGCTGCACTAAACTGTTCATATATTAATGGTAAAATAAAGCAGAATCTGTGGAGGTCAGGAGTGCTGCTGCCTCCAGATTCCAGAGCTTTCTGGCAGCAGAAGGGCTCAGTGCTTTATCAACACAAGCAACTGCCCAAATCTGCAGCATTAATGGCAAACTCAGTGTAATGCAGTTATCACCAGTAATTAGATTAGTGCTCTTTAACATCTTCAGCCAGATGGTGTATGCTCTTGTTGTCAAGAGAATCCTGAGTTACAAAGTCCAGGACATATACAGCACAATTTTGACACGGCCGGGGTTTACAAAAATAGAAGAAAAAAAAACAGATCAGACTCGCCAACTCTAAGCTGTGTCTGGAGAAGAATACAGTATATCAGTGTTTTACATCTCGTCTGTAAACTGCTTTAGGACCAGCTGTTTGGCCTACGGCAATAAAGAAAGTCTAACCTTTCATTTTTGCTGCAACAGTCCTTTCTGCCTGAATCTTCTTCCGGTGCAGTGATACTTTTTTTTTCTTTGGCCAAAGGAAATCATTGGAGGCATGCTCGACCTAGAACCGAGACGCTGGAGAAAACCAATCCGAGAAAATTTTGAGGACCAGAGGAAGAAAGTTCTCCAATTTGCTCAGATGTGGAAGCCGTTTGACTGCACCAGGAATGACAATTAACATTTCAGACCTGCAGATAATGAGAGATAGTTGGCAAATGTCTCCTTGACTCTGATCTCACCCTTTCCAGTAACTTCAATTCAGGAGTAACAGTATATATTTACAGATTACCTCAATTCTATGGTTAAAATGCCCAGCAAAATTCACATAATGAAATAGTTCTTTCATAAAACTACATTGGATGGTGAATGTAAAATACACAAAAACAGAACTAGATTTGGCAGCCCAAGGAATATAAAATTTTGATGAACTACACAGTTAAATTGACTTACATTTTGCAAGTAGCTAAAACTACTTTACGTCCAATGTAAAGTAAGAGTTTTTGTCAAACACAGATGCTTTTGTATGTTGTGCTTTTAACTTTTAAAGTTATTGAGAGTATTCACATCCTCCTGAATTTTTCTTTTGGATAACACAGTTCCCAAGTTCTTGAGGAAACAGAACTGTAGGGATGCTTAGATACATTTTTAAAATCTATATGAAAGTGTCAGTTATGTAAGAGTGGATCTGCAAAAGTTGATAATGTCATGTGAATTTTCATGTATTTTAAAAATCTTCTGTTTGTACCAAAAAAAATAAAATTGTATGACTGATAAAAGTCAAAACAGATAATCTTTGATTTCTTTACAAGCCAAACCTCTTTTTTTTATTTGGTTAGCCTCGTTACCTTTGGCAACTTACTTTGCCAATTTTTTTTGTTGTGTTTCATTTTAAGAAGACCTGTAACAATACTTAAGATTGTTTGTAGTTCATTGCATTTTTAAGAAGTTTTTCCCTTCTTATCATAATCAGGTGCATCACAATAGATATTTTGAATTAACTGTGTTAATTAAGTGTATTATATGGTTCAGAGGGAAGGGAAGAATAAGTAAGTCAGTCGACAGTTTAAGGAAAGTTCTATGTAGATTGGTACTCAATTTACAGTCTAAAGTCTGGGACAATTCTCATATAATGAGTTCCGATTGTATAGCATACAAGGGTCTTGAAAATAACTGAATAATACAGTTTCCCCTCAATATATTCCTCCTTTAAACCAGATCTTCAATAACCCAGCCGCCAGATACCACTGTGTATGTCAGGGTCAGTTCTGTTTTTGGTTGTTTTTTTTTTTTGCATGCATTTCATATGTTGAGCCTGCTTTCAACTATGGCAAGGCTGTCTATATAGAATATAAATTGGCATATTTTCTTCTGTTACCATGCCAGTAGAGATGAAGCTGCAAATTAAACACAGCAGTAGTCATTAAGAATATTGTTTGTGGGTTTATGCAGTCTTTAAAATGGGCCTGAAAGAAAAAAAAAGCTTTATTTTGCAGCTTGACTGTACTTAACAAAAAACATTTCTTGGCTTTTCTTAGCACATCAGAACAATGCGCACTCACAGCTCATTAGCTATGTAGCTACTAAATGAGCTGTTTCAAAGGTCTATTAAGATTCGGCTGCATTTGTAATGATAATTCTGTACATTTACTCTATAATAATAATACAATTAGTCCTTCCTGCAGTTGGTTGCACTGTTAGCATTTATTGTTGGATGGTAGGGTGTCATTTGTCTTCAGTACTATGTAAAATATAAATACTCTGGAACATGAAGAAAAAACATCTCCATCTTCATATTACTGCTTAATGTAAAGCTGCTAGTGCAAAAACCCTATGAGGAATATTCATTTGTCTGTTGTCACTATTGGTCCACATTTGTTCAGGCATCCAGGAAATATTTTGGAGATGTAGGAAAAAGTGAGTATATAATGAAAATGATGCTTTATAAATGAACATCTTTAATGTAAAAAGCTCACACCACCTAATATAGTTATACTGCTATACTGCTATGTCACCTGTTGTCAGTCAACCTATCAGGAAGTTTTATACTGCCGCAAGACCTGCACATGCATGAGTGGCAATACCTTTTTAGAGTTTTAAATATATGATGAAAACTCTGGATCCTGTGAAGGAAATCTGATATGATGAGCATAGAAATTGAAGTTTTAGGTAATGAAAGCTGCTCCTGTCAGGAGATTGCAGCGCAACTTTCCATTTCTCCTAAAAGACACACAGCTACTGTTGACAGCTATCCTGATTTAGCCACTTGAATCGCTCACTTTAAATTTGGTAAAGATCCTTTTCTCTGACCAGCTGCCTTGCCTGTCACCTATGTATCTCAGTAACATACCTTTCAGCCTTGTACAGAGTCCTGTCAGTCACTCTGTTTGGCCTTAAGCACTTTGCTTACAGCAGCTTTTGTTGCGGGGTTGGCTTGTCACCTGTAAACTTGTGCAATTCTCCAGTCTGCTGTCTCTGATGCACTAACCATACTGAAACATCATGCTATCTGTTGCACTTCACAATGCAATCATCCACACACTGCTTTATTGATTTGTATTATTTGGGTCTGGGCACTATCACAGTGTTTTTGTGGAGGTGCCTGGACTGCACTCGTCTTCTATGATAAATGTGTTTATGTCAGGAATGTAACTTATCATGGAAGCACTTGCCAGGACTTGGGATTTGCTGATCCTAACAATAATTGTGACTGAATTGTTTCCTTAAATGTTTCAGCTATTGTGAAAATTAAATTTTCTTTCTCACCTTGGAGTTTACTGTAGCAACACTAAGCAAGGTCAAGCAAAAGGTACAGTAGGTGCATAGAATGCTATTTTTATTAATCTGAATCTTGAGAGCTTAATTATTGCTATTTTGGTTATGTATGCTGAATGAGTATGCAGTTAGCACAAAGATCTACTTTGGCTAGATGTTTTACACACATCAGACCTATCTTCTAAGACTTGGGCAGCTATGTAACTTCAGCGGAGCTTGACGATGGTCCCATTTAAATGCATCATCAAACTCTGGAGCTCTCCATAGTTCTGTCAGAACAGCAACGTTCTGTATGAATAGGAATTTCATGCTTGGAAACTAATTATTTCCAAACCTCAGAAGTTGTTTTCTTTAATTGTGCAATACAGTTTGTAATAACACAAACAATTTGTTCTAGTCAATTCTATATACTGTGTATATTTGAAGTATGCAGAAACATTTCATATGTGTAGTTTTAAGCACTTAGTATTCCTCCCCATACAGCTGTTTAGTGTATAAAAGCTTGTCTTCAAAAGAATGTCAGACAGCGTAGGCAATCTTTTCTGCTTACTGCCTCTGTGTTCTGCTCCGTCAGTGTTTTGGATGATGGGATTGGATTTATTTTTTTGGGGGGGTTCATTCAGCTAGTTATCACACCTGCGTAGCAAAAGATTGTCCACTGAAACCTTTGATCAGTGAAGGGTTTGGGATTTTGTTTAATTTTCTTTACTGAATCTGTTTCCATTGTTCTTCCCTGATAGTTTCATGATTGACTAGTATGTCTTGATTGCCAAAGTACCCTTTTGCAGAATGATTAAAAAAAACTACAGAGAATCTTTTTAAATCAAAGGCGGATATTCATTGTGGTAAGACTGTATGCCGTTGAGAATGGTGTGCCCTCTATTAGAGTGCATATGTATAGAATCAAAAGCCTTCGCCTCAGAGACTGCTGACAACCTCAGTCACAATTAAATCCGCAATAGACTGTGATGATTTCCTTGTCTTAAATTTCCACACCTCTGCTAATTCAACTAATTATTCTGTTTTGGCAAATTTGCATGATTGCCAAAGCCAAGCAATTGTCTTGCAGAGGCTTTGTATGTTTTAGCCTAAATTTATTATCATGTACCTTCAATGTTTTCTTGAAGCAGCTTCTAAGACACAGATGACTAACATCATGTGATGGTGGTATATTTTTATTTTATGTATCTGCCAGGTTTCTTGAAATGCAATTAGTGTTCATCCTTCCTTAAGTGAATCAGACAAAAATATTCCATTAATCTTTACTGACTATACCATATGGTGTAGTTAGAACCAAATACCAGGTAATGAACAAATTCTGAAGACATGATCTACAAATAGAAATGTACTGAAATAAGATGTATTGATATATTTGCTGCAGTGCCTTAATGAAAGCAGGCTGCTTCTTTCTTATTCTTTATTGAGCAGAACTGTAGACAAGGGGATAGATAATAGTCTTGGCCTGAGAAGGTATTAACTGTGAAACACAACAGCAATATGGCTAGTTTCTGCAAAAAATGGAGATCATGGAAAAAAAACTCTTGAGAAAGAACAACCAAGGATCAAAAAGGAGAAAGGATAACCATTCTAAAACTGAACCTCAAGGGTAAGAATATGACCAAATATATTTTCTTTTGTTTTCCTAAATAACCAACAGATAATAATCTCATAATCTAAGACTGTTCAGCTTTATACAGTATGCAACTAATCACTGAGACATGACTGACAGTACATAATAATAAAACACTTATATAGCACTTTTCTGGACACTCCACTCAATGTGCTTTACAGGTAATGGGAACTTCCCTCCACCAATGTGCAGGTCCCACCTGGATGATACAACAGCAGCTATAGTGCACCAGTACACTCATCACATACCAGGTATCAGTAGGGAGGAGAACAGAGTGATGAAGCCAAAAGGGAGATAAATGGAGATTATAAGGAGGCCTTAATTGTAAAGTCCATGGGGTTTTTTGGGGGGCAGAAGGAGGGGTACCACTCCTACTCCTTCCAAGTAATGTCCCAGGGTTTTTAATGACCACACAGTGGCTTTATGTCTCATCCCAAGGACGGCACCTTTTTTACAGTGTAGAGTTCCGATCATTATACTGGGGCATTAGGACCCACACAGACAGCAGGGTGAGCACACCCTACTGGCACCACTACCACCTCTTCTGGCAGGAACCATAGCCTTCCCAGGAGTCTCCCATCCAGGTACTGGCCAGGTTCACCCCTGCTGAGCTTCAGTGTGTTGCTAGGTGTGAGTTGCAGGGGGATATAGCAGCTGGCTATAATGGATTTCTTGAGTGGAAGGCCTTGTGCATTGTAACATCCTTCAGGTCTCTGAGTTGTAATCACTGCAAGTACTGAAGATTGTGCCTATGGGGTGAATGTTGCCCTATAAATATGGCTACTGTAATTGAGGTTTTAAACAATGAACAGATTCCTATGCTGGCTGTCTGGTTTCTTTCATTTCCTTTTGAAATGATATAAAAACTAACACCCAGTTGAAATATTGTGATGATATTTTCAAACAATTTGCATTCTAGGCTTTTCTCTTTGAAAGTTATTTCTCAATATTCTACAGTTTCAAAACGGTGGCAGTTGGTTCCATAAATTATTTTTTTTAAATAGTGGTATGTGTAAAATCTTTATTTTTCATAAAGTCTACATCTTGATTCATATTTGGTGGAATGTGATGAAAAATACTAATGGAGTGTTTTTTTCTCAAGCCAGAAAAACATAAGGTCATTTTGTCTTGTAAAAAGAGACTAGTTTATGCAACAATTCAATTTGCTTCAATGTCATGTCTCTGTGGTAGCTTCTCCTTGGGGACTTTGCTTGTCTACTACAACTGTTTGATAAATGACAGAAGCAATCTGTGATTGAAAAATAAGCAAAGAAATTCCTTTAAAGATTAAAATACATAGATATAAAATACCCTTGAGTACCACTGTTCCTGTTCGGTCAATAAGGAAATGATTGAGAAGTTAAAAAGTATTTAAATTGTACTTAAAATAACACAGAATATAAAACTTAAAGCACATGCTGTCAAACACACTTCCAGTTGACTATAGTTAATGATTTGTACATATTATAAAACACATTGTTGTGCACAGTTTATCAGGGATAATGAATTGGTCCATTTAGCTCAATAATAAAAAAAAAGTAGAAGTGTCAGTGTCAAAAACCCTTCATGTAATTCTAATGCCAGTATCATTCATTAACTTTAGTCTCCAGAAAACCCAGTGAAACATGAGAGGTTGCAGTGATTTAGGAGGAACACTAGAATAACAACTACAGCAGCTGAACAAGTTCCAGACAGAATGGACCTACTGTTGCATACTTATTTTCTCAGTCCTCTTTCTCTGCTTTTATGGTCAACTAATCCGTTCTGGTCTCCCGATGCACAAACAGAACGGTCAGAGCAAGCAGTAGCATCATCCTTCAAGAAAGAGAATTCTTCCAAATTTCAACCCTTTCAGACACCCCTTTGCCATGTATACAGTACTTGTCACCCCTTTCTGAGTAACATTCTCTAAATCATGACATTATTATCTAGGTCATCTTTCAATTTCAGGAGGGCAAAAATTACAGCAAGATAATTATCTCATATGACGTATTATTACGATTTCCAAACCTTTTGATTTCAAACTGTAGGGCTTTCAGTACAGGTTTTCTCCAGATTCCTGAAAAAAACAGCAGCGATGGACCCTAAGCAGAAAAAGTATGGGCTCTTGTGTCGGACACTTTGAAAAGGTATTTTTTTTGCTACAAGAAACATCCCAATCCTTCCTCACAGTGCAGTGGATGTCACTGTATGTGCTTTGGTTGGTATTGCATTATCTAGCACGACGTGGGAACACTTTGCAAAGGAAAAGTGCCACTTTGGCATGTAGAGTCCTTGAAGAAGTGGCTACTTTTATTTTTAAGCCACAAGGAGTGTTCTGTGTCTTAAAGGTAGATCTTGGGTAGCTTTGGCATTGATTCTCATGTCACATAATTATCACCCACAACAAACACCGCCACCTTTTCATTCCTTCACACTTTGCCTTGGAAAAAAGCAATTTCGTAATCAAGATATGAAGGAATCAACTTCCAAATTAAAATGGTTGTGAAAAGAGAAGGTAGATGATTTATTACCCCCCCACTCACACACACCATTGTTAGTGTGTTTAGGGCATACAAAGCATTAAGTTTCTCTCCACGGTTTACTCTGATGACTAGTGCTTTATTTCATGTACCAACCAGATACCTAGAAGCACTGATAACAACATAATTAACTGCATGACCTATAATCAATCTTTTAAAGTAGCAAATACATGATTAGTGAAAAAAATTAAATGAGAATGTTGTATGACCACATGACAGAACATTAATGTGGGCAATTTGCATTTTCTGAAACCTTCTGTATCCGTATCCTAAGCAACGTGTAAAGCATGCCCATAAGTAGAAAAATAATCTCCCTTTATATACATAATGTTTCTTGACCTTCACCGGGACAGGCGGACTGAAAATGGACAAATTGATCACTAATGTACCATTGCTCTCCCCAGAAGTCGTCTTTTTTTTCTCAATCTCCGTTTCAAAACTACAAGACTTCGCATCCATCAGCCACAGTATGACCATATTCAAGGGGGCAGGTTGTTAACCTCACAAATTACTGATTGGCTGCCTCATACAGCTGAAAAAAAAATGAAGGGGAGATGCTGTGATTGTGAGGACTGGCATAGCTCAGAAGGAAGAGTTCGCAAGCTTGACATAATTTAGGTTGTACTATCTCCCAGAAAGCTGCAGCCTGTTTTAATGTTTTATGGATTTTTATCAGGCAGCAAAAACAGCAGTGGGAAAATGAATTCCGTCCTAGTTCCTTCTGAAATAGGTGACAAAAAGAGAAGAGACACTGAAAACACGTGATTCTTGTTATCATTGAGCAGCAGAGGTAAAAAAAAACGGGGTTTAAAATGCTCGACGGCTGGAGAAACGGACTAGCTATGTGACAACACACACAAAAGCCCCGTCGTGCTTACCTTTTCATTTTCCCCCTTTTCTCCCCAAAGGGCAACGTTTGTTCTGGGATCGCAGTTTATAATTAGCCAGTGGATTTTCATTTTGCCTTCTTTTTTTCTCTCTTTATCTGTACGCGAATCAGTCTCACTTAAATTTGAAATCTAATGCATCCCTTTAGCCGCCCAGCATGTCTTCAAGGAAGATTTCGTCGGAATCGTTCAGTTCAATGGGATCAGATTATCTTGAGAGCCCCGATGACGGAGAATGCCCCTTTTCCAGGGTATTTTGGAATGGGAAGAGCCCCTCCGGGTCTCTTTCGTGCCCATTTGAAGACATCGGGGTAAAACGGGCACCAAGGAGGAGACGCGTTAACTTGGACTCACTCGGCGAGAGCTTGAGGAGGCTCACGTCGCCTACGGTACAGCTGCTCTTTCCAAGTTAAGAAAATTGTCCTTCTGCATGCAAAGCAGCCCCTGCATGCTGGAGAAAAAAAACAACAACAGCACTTTGACCGATTTTCCATTTAAAAACGTGCCATTGTGTTCTTCTAGTTGTGTTTAGATTAATTATATTCTTCAGGCAATTATCTCTGCAACTGTCAACATTGTCTATTGCCAAAAATGAAAACCGAAAGATTTCGCAGAAGTGCCTTCTCCGTCTGTATTAGATTTTATTCATCCAGTCTGTTAACTCTGCCATGCAGAAACCCTGAATCATTTGCATCTGGGTCTTGTGTAAAGTCAACCGATTGACCCGTTTACTCTTAATATGAGAATTACATATCACATTTAATATTGTAATGTAATCGCGGGCTGATAAACGTAGGTATCAAACTGTTTTTGTGTTAATGGCATGCCTGAATGACCGGGCGTCTTTGTGGCGATTGGGAAATATACATATATACTGTATACAGTGTGTTGGGTTCGATTTGGATTTTTCTCGAGTTCAGAAATTATTGGAATGAAGTTTTGTTTAAGATAGTTACATTTTTTTATTTCCCATAGCTGCATGAATACTTCAGTGAATACAATGTAATGTATGTTATTCTAGATCACGAAGAATGGTGATGTCTGCCATAAGAACAGGTGTGGTTATGTGTACTGTATAGAAAGCTGCACTGGTGCACCTGATAATCTCTGCTTCCTTAGACCTTTAGATCTGCCCCCTCACCACATTACAGTATGTGGTGAGACCCTCGCTTCTGAATTAGGCATCAACTGATGCTAGTAAGAGGGTAATTTCATTAGGGAGGTCTCGAAAGAATTAAAGAAGTACGTTATTTGTGATACATACCCTGTGTAGGGAGATAAAAGGTCCAAAGAAATTTCATTAGTTTTTCTGAAGAAAGTTATTTTTTTTCAATTTAGTTTTACTTGGGTTTCTCACGTCCTCGATCAGAATGCCTGCTGTCTAATGTGTTTATATTAACTAGCCCCTAGTTAAGATGCAAAGGTCACAGCTGTTCCTTACATGAAATCTCGCTGTGTGTCATTCTGAGGGCCGAGAAGCAGCGCTAAAGGAAATTCACTGTAGTAGACAAACACTGTGTCAGTGTGTCCTTTTCTTCATTGTATACAGAAACACTGCCAATCTGGCTATGAATGCTGGAGTAAGCTTCCATTACTTTCATCTGGAATTCATCAGTAAGCATTAGGGGCTACAGGCCAGAGTTATGCTAATGTTTTTACAAGTAAAATCGGAGATATATCAGGCAGAAAACTATTTAAAAACACAGAAAAAAGATGAATGGCACTGAAACTTTTTTTTAGAATTTTTAAGTTTCGAGTTGTTCTATTTTTTTTTAAAGAAATCGTTACAACAGAACAAAATAAGCGGTCTCTTTAAGCGATGCATGTTTTATAAACGTAATTTGTTAACTTTTGAAGACAATTATTCAAATTGAATGCCAACATTTTTCAATAAAATGAGTTGTGGTTCTGAAGTTCAGTATTTTGGTATAAGAAAAATATCCAGGCATATGTACGTATTTAACTTGAGACCTAAAGACATACAGTAAGACCTTTCCATTATTTGTTACCTTGAATTTTCCATGGGCAGTTTAAAATAATGTACTCTTCCAGTCTGTGAAACTTGTTGTTTTACATTTAGTTAACTAAATGACTTGTTTTTCAATACATACCCTCATACATATACAGCTCTTTTTTACATGGGGGAGCTACAACAGCAATTAAAAATCAGAATAAAAGATACAGGAAAGAGTGATAGTCCTGCTGACAGTACTGTACATTAATGCGTTTTCAGTAGATGGTCTTCTGAAAGCTGAAAGTGGTTAGTATAATTAAATTACAATGAATAGCTTTCTGAAGTGCAGTTTTAATTTGAAGCACACCGTGCCAGAAACCACAACAGCATGTAGCACCTTTCGTCTGTATTAGACCTATATCAGACCATGTCTAATAGGTTTTAAAAGCCTTTCAAAGACATAAAATAACTTTGGTTTTGATTTGGAGGTAACTGAATAAGAATGGCAGCTATGATTTGCCTTTCACAACTGTTCAGGCAAAGCTGATGATATTAATACTTCCAAATTAAGTGTTCCCGAAAGGCCAGTCAAAACAACACAAGCTATTGTTAGGCTTAGTGTGAGCTTAAGCCACAGGCTTCTCCACAATCCTGACCTCAACAGACAACCTTAACATTTATTCTTGGGGTTTATCTGACCACAACTAAGCCTAACTTCTCTTTATCGTGTGGAGTTCTACTTTAGGGGTATCAAATGAAAATAAATCAAACTGTACAGGCAGGTGGAGAATTTTCAGTACACTTCCATAATGGCTTACTGTTCTATTATTGCTTTATTTCTAAACAGCGACTTTGAAATAATCTTTGCTGTCATATGTGGTGGGCAGGTTAAGCCTAGAAAGAATGTAATTTACAGATTTGCACAATGTTTAAGAGAAGTCTATTACTGTTGATATATAGTATAGGCTATTCTGCCAAGTGTGAGGACTGTGGACAAAGTCTTAGCCTAACTAAAGCTTTGTCCATATAATACATAGATTTTTAAGAGTGTCGTTTTGGGGAAAGTCTTTCTACACTCCTTGCTTAAGTAACAGATAGTGACAGTCTTTGTGTTCAAACGAAGAAGGACACTATTGCAAAGGAGTGGTAACATTTCACCTGTGTTGTTTATAAATCTTACTTTAAAGTATTAATGTACATCTTACATTAAAGACCTTTTAAACACTCAATGCTACTTAATATGTTCTAGTAAATACTTCCCTTACAAAAACAATCACTGCAAAAATCTGATCAATTATTTTGTCGGTCTTTGTTTTATTGCCCTTAGACTCAAACAGTGCAGCAAGCTCTCCAGAGAACTGTGCAGATCTACAAGCATCAAGTAATAAGGTAAGAATTTTTTCCCCGTAAAATAGGGTTTAAGGGCATTTACTGTTAGTCAAAGAGCTAACTTTAAGATTAAAAGAACTGACTTTCATCAACTTAAAAGCATCCACAACACAAACATATGGAAGATCTCTGGACTCAGCATCATTTATAATACTGTACGTTAAGAGTGATTGCTAGTGGGCTGTGGAAGCTAGTTACTGAAAGAATTTATGGGCAGATCCCAAAATTACTACTTTCATCATGACCAATAGCATGACTGGACAGCAATCCTCACCATAAATCGAACCTTAATCTTAGAAAAAGCATTAACTTCAAGGTTGGCCTAGATCCCACAACTATATTCACATACATATACAGTAGCAGAATGGTTGAATTCTAATTCTATTTGAAATTATCAATGCTTTAATGATAGTGAAATCTGTTTTTAAATACCACATGGATAGACAAATTGAATATATATATATAAATTTATTAAGAAAAGGTCAGATGTACAAAAAACACCTTCTGTTGAGCTGAAACAGATTATTTAGATTTGAGTTACCTTCTTTAATTTCCTAAACATATAATGGTTTATTAGGAACAATGAGGAAGTGTGATTCATTAGCAGATAAGGTCTTTGTGCAAACTCTATCAACATGAATCATGTGGAGTTTTCTTCAGGTCACACATGTACTTTATCACCTCAATTATTTCTGATCCAATTCCTGATACGAAAGGCCTCTGGGAATGTGTGCAATGTAATATTGTCATCCCTTATAGATTTGGGTTTATCCTACTGAAAACTAGAGATGAATGGAGATGGATGGCACAGTGGTTAGCATTGTAGCCTCTTAGTGGTGGAGTGCTGGGTTTAATTCCAGACCTGGGCTGCTAGCTGTGTGGAGTTTGCATGTTCTCCACAAATTCTTCTTGGTTTTATCCAGGTGCTCTGGTTGCCTACAACAGTGCAACAACATATTGGTAGGTTTTTGGCTTCTGGGTAAATTGGCCCTGGTGTTAGTGTGTGCGTCACCTGCCCTGCAATGGACTGGTGTCCCATCCAGACTATATCCTGCCTTGCTTGCCAGGATAGGCCCTGTCTCCTCCTCGCCTCTAATTTGGAAGAAGTAGCTAGAAAATAATGGATGGACAACTAGAGAATGAGATTGGAATGCAGAAACAATGTATTATTGTTTTAATCTGTTATTTTGGCTGCAGCTTTAAAAAATATACTTCAGGTTGGAAAAGTACTGTATTTGCCAATTACACAGGAAGTTTATATTCATGTATTTTATTCATGTATTATATCATGTATTTTTAATTAGTCAGACTGAGGCCCTGTGTAATTTTACATTAAATACGCACAATTTTAATAATGAATTCACAGTTAGTTATTTGATATCAAATTGTTTAGCAGACATAAAATTCTCATTTGCTGTTTGTCAATGTCAAATATATCTTGTAGCATGCTGGTTCTTGACTAATAAGGTGCTTGGTATTTAATTCCAATGTAGCCTGCAATTCACAGTTCTTTATGTCCAGTCAGTGCTGTAAAAAAAACATGGATTTTGCTGTGAACTGGTATTGACTTTGTGTTTAAGGAGCAATGATGATGAGAAAGAAACACATAACCTTTCGAACAGATGCTCCTATCTGGACCATTCAGGCACAGAGGAGCTGGAAGATATCTCAGGAATTCTACAATGCACCGCCACGTTACAAGGTAAGAATATAAGACCTACTGAAATACATACTGTATGTGGCACTTTGGCAGATATCTGTACTTTTGTACAACTGAATTTAAAACAACAAAAACAAAACTGATGATATTATTATTAATAGTTATTGTATGTAGAACCTTTAAAAGTAGCACCTTCAAGCTCTTTGCAGTGCAGAAACAAAAAGAATACAGTTATAGGATAGCAAATTACAAAATAAGCACACACTGTATAAGAAAGGCAAGTGGTTCGAAGTGCAGCAGAAGGCGTTCATTAGAAAATGGAGCAGACGCAGACACTAATTTTAAAAAAAATTGGAAAGAATTGTTTTGAGATTTGGATTTAAATGCACTCAGGGTTGGTGACTCTCTGATATCGTTGGGATTTCCAGAGTTCCAGAGCTTTGGGATGTAGGAAGAGAAGGAGACCAGAGTCAGATGAACAAAGGCTGAAAGGTGGAGAGCAGACAGATAACAAGTCAGATAGGTACTGGTGAGCCACACCATGTAGAGCCTTGTAGGTGAGCACAAGGATTTCAATGTGAAATCTAAACCTGATAGGTAGCCAGTGCAAGGAGGCCGTGACAGGTGTAATGTGATTGCTTGCACACAACCTGGTCAGGATTCTGGCTGATAAATTCTGAACATAATAACATTTGTTCAGTGTTGTTTAATGTTGATTTAGGTACCCCAGCGAGTAGGGCAGTAATCAGTTCTGGAAAAGACCAGTGTGTTGACCAGCTTTTCTTCTAGAGTCAAAGACAACATGGGTTGCATTCTGGCAATATTGCTGAGATGGAAGAATTACATTTTTACAATATCCTGATGCTTTCATTGTGTCTTCACGTCCTGTCATCCTGTACTTTCAACACGGCAGCGAACATGAGGGAGCTATTTAGCCAGTCTTGATTGTTTCGAAATTAAGTCACTACGTGAAACTGAATTTCCGCCCAGATGTTTCTTGAAAAACCTTGTTCTAGACACCGACAACTCTTTTCGTAAAGAAATGTTGATCTCCATTTCCAGCTGCTACTCCATGTCCTTGTTTTGCTGAAATGTGTCTGAAATAGTTCCCACAGTTGACCCTATCGATACCTCTCTCGGTATATTCACTCAGAATCTCTCAGGGGAATTGATTACAGCTAATGAAGTGCATCCTCTGGGATATAAATACATGTAGCACCTTGGCAGATTAATAGAATCCACATGAATACATGAGCATCAACAGCATCAGCATGTGGTGGGTTTAAAGGTGTGCACCTGTTAAATCCTATACACTGTAGTTCAGACATTGACAGTTAAAGCGAATCCTGACAGGGTGACTGAGGTGGCAGTGCCAATTGCCTTCAGGGAGGGTTAAAATAGGTGAGCATATGTTTGGGCACCCCTGTAGGTTGCCAGGAATCTCTGTACTTGCAGTGCTGACAGTGAGAGCTGCATCTCTCCTCTAAATGATGCCAGTGCCTCTGCAGGGACATCTGATGGCTCAGGCACTAAGCCCTCACACACACATACAATGAGCCAAGCAGATTAACTGCTGCTGATTCTGCTCTGATGTTGTGTGCAGGGAAAAATAAACTGTAAAATGCAGATATTACAGAAAGGTCTGGTGGGCCTGGTTTTTGGAAAAGTAATCAGATTGCAATCCTTGCACCGTGTACCTGTAAGCATGAATTATAAGGAGAGACATAGATGCTTGAAGACAGAGAACAGGCTTCATAGCACCCTTTTAACTAGTTTAGATATGCAGAACTCCCTGAAAATGAATGAGTTTATAAAAACTTTTCCTGTTCAGACAATTTTCTCCATCCTGGAGGTGTGAATAAATGTGATTTTGATATGTGAAAGAATATTTTAACATCTTTTAATGATTGCTGAATCGAGGAAGTCAGAATACTGGAACTATCTCCTGTGACTACTACAGAGCCCCCATGTACAAATATTAATGTAGTTGTACTCTTAAAGAAACACATGCTGTAGTATTCATTTTGTATTTTTGCTATTCTATCTTTATTTACCATACTGCTAAAAGTAATGGGACTTAAAAAAAAAGAACTATGAATACTTATAACAATCATTTCCCGTGGAAAAAATATAACTGATTGATAAGTGCAACAGCAAAATACTTTAAGCCATTTTTAATGCTTCCAATTCAGATGGAATTACAGTATGAGGAAACAAGATTAGTGGAACCATTTTCTTAAATGTGTTTCTTGTTGGTTAGGATTTTTTATGTTGGGTACTTACGCATTTACAGAAGAGCTTTATCAACCTGTCAACATCCTATCAAGCTGTCCTACTTTGGCTCCAGTGTTAATCGTTCACAGTCCAAAGTCAAAATAAAAATCAAAGAACTTTTCGTTAACGTAAAGCAGGCAATTTTGAAGCTGGAAGAGCAGAAGACAAACTCAGCCAGAAGCACCTCTCAGAAATTGCACAAAAATCAACAATTTCGATTACACTGAAGATTAAAGACACCGCAGGCATAATTACAACCAGCCAAGTTTGGGTCAAGTCAATCTCTAGATTTAAATCTAATTAAACATGCATTTACAAGCAGGAGAAAAAAATAAAACAAGAATATCCCAAGTAACCTAAAATGCCTGTATATATGCTTGTATACAGTATGTGTATATGAAATTATTTATAAGATATTTTTCAGATTGGGTGCCATCTTTGTTTCAGTATAAAACAATACAATTTTGATTAGTTCCATGTAAGCCAGAAATGAGGGTGAATTGTATTATTAGTAATACATTTTCTGTTGCAGGAAATGTCTTTATGAAAATACTTTGTTCCTTTCTATGTTTTCAAACCTTAGCCATTTGTGTCTGCTGAACATTCAGTTACAACTGGTGAATTGTCTCTGAAAATATGTTTATGTGACACTTTAATGTTCTTCTAACTCAACTGTTTTGAGTTTATTTAAATAGGGAATGTAAACTGTAGGGTTGTAGGCTATTTTTAGCTAGCACAACATTCTTTTGTGCAGTTTTCTGTCTGACTTTTTTTAGCCTGACCTCATCTTCTTCTAGGCGCTTCACGGCTGAGATTGGAAAGTCTCCCTTGTCCAGAGTTTCTTCTTAGTTTATTAGAAAGTAGGAATACCAGACATTTTATATGTTTATGACAAGGAGAGATCTGTCTCTCCATACTGCACTGCATATTAGGAGATGGATTGGCTGCATTGTTCAAAATATAGTAAAAGATTTTCCCCCGTAGTAAATTACTCAAAACTGCCAAATTTGGTTAAGACAAAAACAGAATTTCGCTCATCTGCAACCTCGGCTAAACCTGAACGTTTAAGGAGCAACGTTCTCTTTTTGCCTGCAGGAATGAAGTTTGAAGAGTTGCGGGAGAAGTTTGGAGAGGAGTTCTTCGGCCTGTGCTTTGAGGAGAATGAGCGGGTCCTCAGGGCAGTGGGCAGTACCCTGCAGGACTTCTTCAATGGGTTTGATGCCCTGCTGGAACACATACGGACTTCCTGTGGCAAGAGGGCGTCCAACGAGTCACCCTCCTTCCTATGCAAAGACACCCCTGAGGGCGGCACGCTCCTGCTGCACTGTTTCCACCCCTCAGCCACAGTGGGCTTGGCCATGCCAGGGCTCATCAAGGCTGCGGCCAGGAGGATATACCACATGGAGGTGCAGGTGGAGGAGCTGACTGGCTCCTCTGACAAGCTGCCTTTAGATGGGACGCTCGCGGGCGGCTACAACTGCCTCAGCTTCCTCATCAAAGTCTCCCAGCCCTCGGGGGTTCCCAAGCCACTCCCCTTGAAGTTGTCCTTTTCCCCACCGGACCTACGCATCAGCCTCAGCACCTTCTGCAGAGCTTTCCCCTTTCACCTGGTGTTTGACCCCAGCATGGCGGTCCTGCAGCTGGGGGAGGGGCTGCGAAAGCAGATCAAGTGTGAAGCACACAGGGCCTTGAACTTCCGCGATTACTTCGAGATCGTCTCGCCAATAATCGCCAGCACTTTTCAAGGAATTCTCTTGAGACTTTCTACACCCTTTGTGATAAGAACACGGCCTGAACCTTCTGGACTCGATTCCAAGGAAAAAGTAAGATGATAATGATAATAATAATAATAATAATAATAATAATAATAATAATAATAATAATAATAATAATAATAAACTTTATTGTATAATTGTATAAAGCCTTTAAAGGTGGCTTCTCAAAGCGCTTAAAGATGTCTTTTGGGCTTCTTGTTTGAGCAAGTCAGTCTGCACTGCACTATTCTTCATATCGTTCTCTTAAAGAAGAATGTAAATGTATTGTGAAAATATTTGTCAGATCAGGAAGTGTGGTTGTGCAGTGTTGCAGTGGGCTGCTGGCATGTAAAACAGAAAACCATTAGGATTAGATCTGTTAAGTAAAGACGTAATTGCAGGATAATTGTTAAAGGGAAGGAGTTGATGTTGGTCTGTTGTTTACCAAAATAGGCCACACTGTGTGCATTGAACTAAGGCTTCAGTTCCTTTCAGAGAAATATTACATCATGAGATTCTGCACATGGCCTCTAAGAGCAAATTAAGCTTGTTAAAGCCATACAAGACATTTTCAAACATGCAAAGCAAGCTTAATTTGTAATGTTTATTTATGATTTAAGTACACCAAAAAACAAACTAGGAAAAAACTGGGTGTGTCCAGGCTCACGACTTTTGTCTGCCAGTTAAGGCTCAGGCTCATTGTAGCCTTGCATTGGAATTAGCAGTTATTTAGAACAGATGGATGATGTTGGACCAGGTGGCTTGTAGGCTAGCTGTGCCATGATGTGAAGAGGGGGGCTTTGCTATCATCTCGCACATTAAATAACCAACATTTCCCTTTTACAAAAGAATGTAAAAAGCTTTGTCTCTTGAGCTTGTTGTGGTTAGTAAATACATTTTGCTGCCTGAAGCCCCTTCCCTTGGATAAAATTGTCTATTTTGAGTTGCTTGCCACTTGAATGCTGCTCTTTTGTAGAGAGGGGCTTAGTGATTCATCCTCTTGTTGGCTTCCACTTTTTCTAATGTTGCACAGACAGTCTGTGAATCTCTGGCTTAGTGACATGTAACTATGGGATACATCTTTTGTTCTGCCGTTCTGTGTTCATTCTGCTAGCATTATAAAACTCCTTACACTCCTTACACTCTGAGTTTTTTTTATTATAATTAATTATAATGACACCTTCATACGTTCGCTGTTTAAATTAGGTGGATGTAAAGCGGTTTTGCTGTATTCTGGGAATGGAATGAGTGTACAATTGCTTTTGCCCTTTATCTATCCATAGTGCAGGCACAGATCGAGGTCCAATGGCCATCAATATGATACTCAGTGCTCCTGTAGGAATTTCCATTTGCTAGGAGTATAGATTAGCCTTTCACTTGTTAGCCACAGTATTTTAGATAAGAAAGAGAATAGATAAGTAGAGTCACAATGTAAATTTGAAAACTACATATTTCATCCTTTTTTCAACAGCTGTTAAAATGTGAGATTTAATTATCAGTTTCCTTGCAGTATTTGAAATTTTGGTAAAGACAGATATATTCTCAGCTTCAGTCCTCTATCTATATTGCAATTAAATAGTATGAGTCACGGATCTCTTGCATCGAATTATCAGTATTTTTTCACTGTATTGCATAATCATATTCAATTCTTCTGTCTCTGAGGTGTGATGCATAATACATGCTTTACAGTGACAGTACAAAAATCCAATAATTTTTGTCAGATTGATTTTGACGTTTAAATATCGTCTCAGTCATACATAAAAACCCACATGAATCAAGGTCTGAGTCCCTTTAAATGAAAGGCAGCGAATGTTACCTTTGAGGTTAAGTTTGCCTAACCTCAGTCTAAGAAGAATCTAAAATTGATGTTAGTGCACAATGATAAACAATAACACATATTAAACTGGTCAATGAACCTTCCTGATGATTCTGCTTTTGTGGTTTTGCTATAGCCTGCTTCTGACTGCTTAAAGGTTTCATCATTTTGCTTTTCCACGGGATTTGATGTCATTAGACACTATGTGACATAAATATCAAGAGCTTTACAAAAGACTTTCAAATCATATTGCACAGATCAGGAGCTGAAAACAAAATTGTGATTGTGTTTCAGAGAGGCGATAGAGGTGCTGTTTTAACATTTTCACTGAACGTAAAACTGGGGACCAGTCATTTCTCATTCATTTCTCATTTCAGCACAGGGGATTAGACAGAGGCGGAAATGTAGAGATCTGACATGTTTTTACGCCACTAATGAAATTAGTGGTTGACACAGGGTGAGAAATTTAATGGAGGAAGTTTGTAAATAAGGAACCTTAGATTTTGGCTAAGGAAAATAGGGAGATGATTTGATGTATAAATCAGTAGGGCCAGATCGGCCACTGGGATCCTGTTCGGGGTGTATAGTACCTTGTGCCCATTGGTTGCAAGGATAGGCTCCAGCTCCCCAGCAACCCTGTATTGGATAAAGCAGTTAGTAAATGAATGAATGGATGGATGGGAAAAGGTCACAAGTTACATATGATGCATCTGTGATCCAGAAATAAATAAGCAGGCATCGTGTTTTTTGTGAAAGCTTGAAAGCCAAAAGAGAGATGAACAACAAAGGCAGAACTTCTTTAGCAGGCTGGCCTTTCCAGAGGTTACTGGGGAGCGAAAGGTCAGACTAAAGGAGAGAAGTGGTGTAAGAGGAGCACTACTGGGTGAAGGATGATGAAGATGAGAGAGAGGTAATCTGTGTAGAAGAAGATGAGGAATTGCATACAGTCTCAGTGCAGTGCAGGCAGCTTATGCAGTGAGAACTACAAGGGAAACTAAACATGGAAAAAGTAGGTGAGATCACCTTTACCTGTACCTGTTTTTAAAGATATAATACTGTTTAAATGAGCGCAGCACAGATTAGTGGGTAAGGCTCTGGACTCCTTATTGGCAGGTTGTCTACCATGTACCATGGTACTTATCCTGAAACTTTGTTTCAATCCACCCAGCTGGACTATAAGTGAGGACCAGAATAACTGTGATATGGTGCGGATTTCATCTTAACTGTAATGTGTAGAAATGTCACGTTTATGTACATCACACTTCTGTGTTGTTAGTTAGCTGCAGTGAAAGCCTTATGGGTTCCAAGCAAATTCATTAATAATATTTGCTGATGGATTTAGGAGATGGATTTTTAGAAATATGACGTGTAGCAATGACTTTTTTACGCCCAGAATGAGCCATGCTGAAGAGAATGTAACTTGCAGGCACACTGGCATAGATCTGCTTTTCTTCAGTGCACTTAATAGCCATTTGCCAGCCTTTTGACAAAATGAATCCAATTAATTCTGCGTTACTGTTGGTCCATTTGTGTAACATTTCCTGGAAATCAATATTTATTTTGTCTGCATTCCCTGTATAGCTACATGTCTGATTCAGTACAAAAGCCTTTACAGGGAGGTGAGTGCCATTAATTGATGCCAGACAATTGTCAATAAAAAGATGAATTGATGTATTTAAAAAAATGAATGGAGTCTCATTATAGAAGTTCACCTTACAGTGTATCATGGTGCCAAAACTCCTTTTAGTGGGCATCTCTTTCACATTTAATTCTAATAACATTTTACAATTTTTGATTAAGTGTGAACAGTGATATTAAAGAAAATGAATTTCATTAAAAAGCAAAGTGCTATTATCTGCTGAAAAGCTCTCAGGAAGGATGTAGTCATACTGACAGATAATAGTTTTTTTGCCATTTGTTGCAATTATTAACAAAGTGCCCTCATCTTTTGTTAGGTAATGAATTTTGCAACAAAGCAAGTAATTATTTCTCAGCCACCACAACCAAACCTACTAAAACAACAATTAATAATTCTTGTATTGACAATGAATAGTTAACGGTATATTAGCAGGTCTTTATTTAAACTAAACTACTTAGAATTAGAATGAACTCTGATCTATTCTTTATTTAAAGTTAATTTATGTCAGGTAGGATTCAGCCTTTAACTACAGGTCTGTATTTGAAAAAAGGGATTGACGTAAATCCCCTTAAAAGATTTAGAACTACAGCATTTTATTTTACATAAAACACAGAAGTTAAATACAACACACCCTTAACACAGAGTACTCCGTATCAATTTAGCCTGTCAATGAAGGTATAGAATAGCTTGTCATTTATTTTATGTGCCATTTTAAATATTTTGCAGACGCATAAATAACTCCCTTCATTTGTTTTAAGATGTCAAGTCTTATCAAAGAGAAATCACATCTGAAAGAATCCTGAAATTTGTTTTTTTTTATTTGCTGTTTGAGAAAATGATTAGATACTAAATGAACATAAACAAGTACTTTACTGCAAACACTATTAAATAGTGTATTTGACAGCATGCTAATATCTTTGTTTTGCAAATTCTGGTTTATTGTTGTCTTTAGAAGGCTGTAAACTGCTCATCATAATGCTCCATGATGCTAATGTTTAATTTAGCAAAATTGATTGGGATAATTTCATGGATTACACTGTCAGTATATGTAAGTCTCTTTCTGTTCACCTTATGAATTGGTGCTTGTGTACAAATTGCATTGCATTTTGTGAGCTATTTGTATTCTACTGTTATTAGTAAGGCAAAATTAGCTCTTTTAGACACTTTTTTTTTAACCTTTTATTATATTAAGATAGTGCTAATGGATTTTATGGTTGATCAAAATATATGTGCTGCAAATTTGTTTGCTCTTACAAAATGTCTTAAACTGAAACAGTTGTAATCCAATTTATACCCTTATTGAGGACAAAACCATGCTATGAAATTTTGTTTTTACTAGTTGTCTTCTTTACAATTAAATTCCACATGTTGTCAAGGTAGCTTCATTTTGTGATGTCAGAGGATTTAATGAGCTGACATTTTCAACAGAAAGGACAAAAAGCACATCTGACAGCAATAAATCCAAGACTTGCTTTTAATCCAGGAAGCAGTTTTCGTCTGTCCTTGTCATCTAACATAAGACCCTCAGGATATCATGAGCCAGGTCATTATGTACTGAAGGTTGTAAAGGATGAAGGCTACTACAAATAACAAATATGAAACAAAACAACAGTT